CGAAGGCACAGGTTAATGATTATCAGGGCAGCATGCTAGGATCCCAGTGTCCAAAATAAGTTTGTTTGGCTGTGAGCTCTGCGCAAACTGTGGGTGGAAGGGGGGCAAAGGGATCAGGATTTCTACTATGTTTGTCCTGTTGTGATGAGCTAGGACAGGAGCTAAAGTCCAATTCTGACAGCAAACGGGTAGCCAGATGGGGAGGGCACTTGTTTTTGTTCAAGGGCCATCAAAGACCTAGCCGACAGGCTCTTCAAGGGACCCAATGAAAGCCTAAGAGACTGAGGAAGGACAGGTTAGGCCAAGAAGGCTTCAGGCCCCAAAGGGAGGGACAGAAGTGGAATTCTCTGTGACAAAGCCCACAGTTGTTTCTCCCACCTCCCAGAGAAGCCCCTAGTCAGCAAGGATGGTATCGTGACTGCAATTTCAAAAGTACAATGGCCCTCCAAAGAGGAAAGAGGCCCAGGGCCTTAGCAACCTGTTCTGTGTGGCTGTTGAAGGCAGACCCACGCTATCTCTAGCAGTCTGACATTCTAACTTGAGATGAGATGCTTGTCAGTGATCAAGTGTGGCAGCTTTTTCTTCACCATGTTTCATTCTTTTAAATTACAAGGGAAATTTAGAAATCTTTAAGGACAATCAGAAATGGGACACACCCCAGAAGCTCCCCCCCAAACCTTCCAGAGTAAACTGATCAGAACCCCCATTGCCCCTAAATATCTTCTATGTTCCCCCCCGCCCGGTCTAGATTTCACCTTCCAACCACCTTCACCTCTACTTCCTGACCCAGGTGCCAACTCAGAGCAACCAACCTCTAGCAACGGTTTCAACCGTCTTGTCTGCCCTTCGTGGTACTGGTTTGGAGCAGGGTGGAACCCTACAAACCACCCAAGTGTTCTACCAGCGTTCATATACCAGTCCAGCCCCTCAAGGTCTTTAAGAGTGGTACTTCAGACCTGGGGCTTTGGAGATCTCAACTTTAGCTCCTGGCTCAAGAGGAGGACATTGAAGACAAAGGTTGCAGGAGATTTCAGGTCAAGGTCACGGAGACTGTCATGGAACATCCTGTACAAAAACTCACATCCTTGTTACCCAGAAGTTCAGTACTGCTTGTCTTTGAGCCTTGGACAAATGGCTTTCTGGGCGGCTTGGCTAAAGTACTCTAAACACATGCACATTGACGTATCACCTGCTAACAGTCATTCTTACGTGCAAAGGAACCAGCCTAGGTGCCCGGCTACAGTGCAGGAATGGGGGGAGGTATCGGTGGTGGCTGAGAGTTCCTGAATTTGGGGTATAGCCAAAGCCCTGACAGATAAGGAATGCTATGTCCAGGGCCAGAGAGATGGATCAGTGGGCCACAGTGAACAGCAGAACAATCACCAAGAGAGGACTCATGGGGGGGGGGTTGAGGAATGGAGAGGATTGCGCTAGGTAAAGGGCTGGGGGGGGGGGGGTTCTGGAAGGAGTAGAGAATTTAGGAACTCAACTCCACTACACAGCAATAGGCAACAGGCACAGGCTAATCATTCACATCCAACCACAGAAGCACTCTTCTTGATTCACCAGAGAGGGGCCAGGGAGTTGTACCAGCTTACTATTGGTGCTGCCACGGCATTGCCATGGACATCACTGAAGGAGCTGGCTGGGAAGAGAAAGGGACACCAGATGTCTGCGCAAGTCCGTGGCTACAGACGATGAGATGGGTGTGAGAGCTCTCTCTAACGCTGTCCCCCACACAGCCTAAATGCCTACAATCAGACAGTTAATTCTGCATTTCCTGGTAGCAAGCCTTTACAGTAAGGCGTTCTTCAATTAAGGAAAACCTCCATCCTAAGACATTGGGAGGGTACGAGATCTGCTGCCGTCAGTGCACGAGAGGCCCCGTGATTCTAAATGTAGTAAATGTCTTGAGAAGAATGCAGAACACAGGGCAGGGTGACCACTGGGGCAGGACGTGATTTAGGAGCCCGAGGACACACTGGTTTTTCCTATCCCCTTTCTTGGCTTTCTGGATCTGTACCATGTGTTTATGCTATATAAAGGAATTATCACACTGGGCTGCAGATATAGGCGAGGGATAGAAGGCTTTCCTGACATGCACAAGGCCCTGGGTTCAGTTCCCCAGGCCTGAAAAAAACGTATATGGAATTACCCTGATACCTATCCCCGGCTGAACTTTGCAAAGTGACTGAAGTTTGCAAAGCTGGCTTTTGTTCAACTTGGACAGTCTCAAAGAAACACAGCTGGCTCAACATCTGCCACAGTCAACTGGAGAAAGGTCAGGCAACAAACCTGCTCCCAAACACCCAGGATCTCATGAGAGTGTCTCTCATTATTTTTGTTGATTTGTTGATTTATTTGAAACAGGGTCTCACTATACAGGCTGGACCAGGCTCAGACACATAGTAATCCTCCTGCCTCAGTTTCCTAGATACTAGGATGACATTAGTGTGCTACCATGCCCAGCTATGCCTTTTTTTTTTCTAATGAAGGTGCCTAAGTTCAGTGCCTTGTTAAGGAGTTGAACAAATAATTCTCATTTTAAAACATTTTTATTTTAAATAAACATTCCTTTTGTAAAGAGTTTATATCTGATTCTGTGTAAGTTAGAAGGGTTTGTGTCCACGTGATGCAGGTGCCTTTGGAGCCCGGAAGAGGGTGTTGGATCTCCCTGGCATTCCAGGTGGTTGTGAGCCACACAACACAGGTGCTAGGAACTGAATCAGGTCCTCTACAAGAACAGGCCAGCGCATCTCTCCAGTCCCTAGCATCTCACTGTAAGCTGTTTTAAATGAATAGCTTGGATATAAGTCCTTAAATAATTTTATTTTCGGAAGTGGAATTTCTACTCCAAAGTTCCCCTTTGACTTCCTCAACTTGTTATCACTGTCCACACTTGAAAAGTTGCCTTAATGATACACAGGGAAGGCAACACACTGACAAATATTTGGGACTCTGTGCCAGGCAGGAACCCGGGATGCTGGTCAGTTTACTCTGCTGCACACTTGCCCGGTACACATCCAGTTGTCCCTCCGCTGCTCCTGCACATAGTGGCTCTGCTCTCTGTCCAAGAATCGATTTCCCCAAATGTTTCCATCGCTAACCTCACAGGCACACAAGCTCCACATTGATTCCCAACTCTGTCAACACACATGAAGCCAGCCCCCCACCCCACCCCAGGCCCGTGTAGACAGCCCCTTTCATTGGCCTGTGCTGCGTGGGGTGGGGTGACTGGCCCTTCTCCTGAGTCACAGCTTGACTCAGCCACCTGTCCTGCCTAGCTCTAATCCTGAACCTGGGAAACCAGCTCACTTTCCAGTGAGATGCCGCCAACGCCTCAATTTCACCTTCACACTCGAGCTCCACATTTTCACACTGGAATTCCCGTTGTCCCTTTAACCTTATATCTTTGTCCATGGTGCTTTGTCTCCCCCAAAAGCCGTCTTTCAGGACTCCCGTAGCTTCACAGGGCAGATGACCCTTCCTCCCAGCTTCTTAGACGTTTGCTCTCTGAGCTTCTGTCTGCATGCCTTTCCTCACCCCCCCACAGTGGAACAGAGAGAACTGTCTTCTGGGTGAGGGGGACATAGCCGCGCATAGACTGATAGGATGTCCCAAGCAGAGTCACAATCTAGCATGCTCACAGCCCAGCAAGCCGGCAGTCTCTGGAGGGCTCCTAAGTTCATCCCGTGCTGCCCACGGCAGGAAGGAAGAGAGCGTCCAGAATGTCTGGGCATCCTGAGGATACGGTAGTGCCACAGTGGGCCTTAGAGGGAAAATGAGCTCCTCCGAGCAGCAAAGGTAGGGGTGACATGACAGAGAGAGAGAGCAGAACGTGAGGGAAGCCATCAAGTTCTGTGTTCCCTGAGAGTAGCCAGCAATTATCTCTGCCTGGAAGCACAGAATACTAAGTGTCTATGCATGCTGACCATGGGAAAACCTTAAGATGGGCTAAAAAAAACTTAAATTTGGAGTAATCGCCAGGGATATCATGGGCGTCCTATAAGCCAGAGCTAAGATTCTTGAATGACAGGCTGGGAGCAACCAGGGCTATCAGGACAGGAGAACAATGTTTTTGTTTTGTTGTTTGGGGTTTTAGTGTTGTTGCTGCTGTTTTCCTTGTTTAGTTTCCTTGGGCCAGGGTCTCACGTGGTTCAGGCTGTCCTTGAACTTACTATACCGCCAACACTGACCTGAAGCTTCTGATCCTCCTGCCACCAACTCCCAAGAACTGTGATTCCGAGCGTGTGCCACCACCCTGCCCGTCCAGTGTCTTGTGGGTGCTGACCACGGACACCTGGTGCCAAGAGGGGTGCCTAGGCACTAGCAGGTCTCAGTGTGAGCAGCTAGGGTGACGCTCTTACTTTATCCAAATCAAAGCCTGTGTGTTTCCTGTCCACACAGACACTCCTCCTGCTCTGTTTGGGTAAGCTCAGCGTGCCACAGAGGAAAGGTATTAAGAAAAGTCGGCAGAGACATTTGCAGAGCAATCCCAGGCTGTACTCCAGAGGGAGCCAACCACACTCGGCATCTCCCTCAAGTATTCTTCACACCTCTGCCTTTTTGTTTTGACAACTTCTGCAACACTGTTGAATATCACATGCGAGAAACCTCAGCTCTGACAGTTTTATTAGCACCAGAAGAGGGGGGGGGTCATATGGGAGCAAAAGCTGCATTTTCACCTCGGGTTTCCTCACCCCAGTGCATCACACAGCGGAGGCGGTAAGGAGCTGAAGGGACCCTTGGCAAAGTGGCTGCCAAATAAATGTGGGAAGTAACTCTCTGGGCTGCCGGGTGGGGGCGGGGCTCCCTGGGGGAAGCTGCGGGACCTGGGAATGATGAAAGCAAGGGAGGCTCTTCCATCACACGCTGTTCCCAGTCCTGCCTTCATGCAGGGCGCCGCTCACCCACAGGCAGCTACAAAGTTAGGCAATCTGGGCTCTGGAAAAATGATCCAAGAGTCAAGGGCAAAGGGGACCTTTCAAAGGGGAAAGTGCTGCAATCCAGGGGAAACCACAAAAAGAGAGGTTGTTTTGAACCTGAGGGAAAACACAAAAAGATGTTCCGCCTACAGCCCATGATCAACATTGGGATGATGTAAGCCCATGCAAAGGCCTGGCCTGCTGCCCCCATCTCCAGAGCAGATGAAAGGTACCGCGCGCTGAGTCGCCATCTGGAAGCAAGGTTGGTGGGGGGAATAGCTCACCCCTACGCTCCCTAAGGATATGAACAGCCCAGGCTCTAACACAGAGTCAGAGAAACAGGCTTCCTACCAGTGTTCAGGGACCTTGTCAAAAGATGTCAGCTTCAATCTCATCATTGGCACGCCTTCCCCGGTGTATTTGAGGACTGTGTTGAGGTTTGAGAGGGCAGATATTACGTGCCAGGCACAAGGAGAGTATACACACAAAATATTTCATGATCTAGTTAGTATAACGCTACCAGGAGCTAGAGAGCGAGGCCAGCCCCTGAAACCTGATTTCCAGGGTAGTACCTGTCACTCTGTTAACAAGTGTCTAGGGTTCTGATACACACTCCTGTGGAGCCGGCACCTCGCAAAGCCCCTGATCCCATTTTCCCTTAAAGCCACCCCTTTAGGGGAGGGAGGTGTGGAGTGTTCAGGGATAAGGGACACGTTTGGTAAGGAACAGCCCCCAACTCCCAACAGTGGCTAACGGTTGGGTGTTGGGAGGGGATGGAGACAGAGTGCCCTCCCTGCGTGAGGACCCTAGCCTATAGTGTATTCACGTCTGTACGGAAATGAGAGTGGAAACAAATTCTAGAACAGTCTAGAGGAGCGCAGTGATGAGAAGGACTGAGTGCTCGCAGCCCGTGGGAAAGAATATAAAGCCGATTATTCCTGATTTCAAATCTCTCATAGGTTTCTCTCTCTTCGAAGGAGGTAGGTGAACTCAACTCTCTGGGTATTAAAATAACGAGAACCAAGGGTGGTTTTATTATGTTTCCCCCACTGCTCTGTGTTATCTGTTCCAGGCAGTGAGTGTGAAAGCCAGGCTTGCTTTCAGTCCCATTAGCCGTTAGTGCAGGAATTACAGACGATTAGCCACTGAGTACATGTCATGTTGATCACTTTTAAAAAGTGGTTTTTTTAACTCTGCTGAAATTATATCAAATCATTCTATTATGTTGTTTAATATATTAATAAAAATGCATTTTTAAGGAAAGAAACCATGGAGCCAGAAGGTTGAGAGACTGTAGAAGTCACTGAATGGCCTGGTGTGTTAAGCCTTGTGCTTGACCCGGGACTCTGAGGTGGGCTAGGCTGGGTCTAACATCCCTATGACCTTGAACAAATTATCTGACATTTCTTCAATTTCTCCTTTGGCAAATTGACCAATACCTGCTACATAAGAATATATAGCAGGGGTAGAAAATGATTAAACCTAAAAGGTCATGTTCACCTTTCTGAAAACAGGGGTGGCTGTGGTAGGTAGCTGGTATTTTCTTTCTCATACTGGACTCAGTTTTAAATGAGTCTTAGGGAATGTCATCACGTTTTTTCATCCCCTGTGAGACTGCAGGCCCCACCCTGGGAGACCTGTGCAGATGGGCTGCCTGGTCCTTCTCCCTCCATCTTCTGTCTTCTGCTCTCTCCAGGCACCCCAGGCTCTACCACGCCAAGACTTACTAATATCTTGCCTATTGTGAAGACACTTCTTACTTCCATGAAAAGTCCCTCTGTGTGCAGATTTTAGCTAGAGGAACCAAGACACAGCTATCTCTAAAAGCCAGTTCTGGGGTCACATGTTATACTTGTGACAAACCCTTGTCATGCGGCCTGACCAGTCCTTGCCTTGGACAGTTAAGGCCTGTGGTGGACACAGTGGTTTTGTTGGAAACTCACGTGCTGTCAGGAGCTCAAGGACACATCCGGAAACTCAGCACTCGGTCACGTTAGGTCGCAGAGCCTGGGGGGCAGAAAAGCCGACCCGGTTTACTAGATAGGGAGCTTTACAGTTTAAAATTAGTGTGTGCTCGTTACATGATCTCTCAGGGAAATGTGAAATAGAACTAAACTTTCATTCCTTTTTCCTCCTTTAGCCCCTCTTTCCCTTCCTCCCTCCCTCCTTTCCCTTCTTTCCTCCCTCCCCCTCCTTCCTTCTCTTCCTTCTTCCCTCCCTCTCTCCCTCTCCCTTCCTTCCTCCCTCTCTCCTTCCCTTCCTCCCTCCCTCTCTCCTTCCTCCCTTTTTCTTCCTCCCTTCCTCTCTCCCTTCTTTCCTCCCTCCCTCCCTCCCTCTCTCCTTCCCTCCCTCCCTCCCTCCCTCCCTCTCTCCTTCCCTTCCTTACTCCCTCCCTCCCTCCTTCCCTCCCTTCCTCCCGCTCTCCTTTCTTCTCTTCCTTCCTCCTTCCCTCCCTCCCTCTCCTTCCCTTCCTTCCTCCCTCTCTCCTTCCCTGTCTTCCTCCCTCCCTCCTTCCCTCCCTTCCTCCCTCTCTCTTCCCTTCTTTCCTCTCTCCCTCCTTCCTTCTCTTCCTCCCTCCTTTCCTCCCTTCCTTTCTTCCTCTCAGAAGGGTGGTTCTACAATGTTTCTCCCACTGCTCCTAAAGAGAGCAGTCAGAAAGTTAAAAACCCCTTTATGGAAACAACTCCGAAGAGTGCCTTTAGGCAATTTCAAAACATTGTTTACATAAAGACCAGATGTGACTGTGAAAACAGAGGCCAGTGACCATCCAGGGGATTTACCCATGACTGTTGTTCTTAGATACAATCCGTCTCCCAACCCAACACTCTCCAGAGCAAAGCAGTTCATCTGCCTCTTAATGAGGGAAGGGGTCAGAGAGTGGGGTATGCTGCTGAAATGATAGGGAACTCAGCACCAAGATAAGACCCAGGATGTCTAAGGCTAGCATGTGCTTTCTTCCCTAGTGATTCTGGGTGTGTGCTGGGCCATCACTGCTTCTCTGAGCTTTGTCACTAAGACGCAGAGTGTTTCTGTGGAAACCCCTATGAATGCAGACAGCTGTGGGACATCACATGGACTCAGCACCTGGCCCATGGGCAGGGACAGAGCTGAGGCTGTGGTGTACACACCCACCAGCCAGGCTCACTTTGGAGATGGCATCTATGACAAAAGAGACCAAGATCCCTCAAGACAGGTCTTCCTAGGACTTCAGGGAGCGAGACGGTAAGATGGGAGATGGTAAAGACTAGGGGGGCTCTCCTGCCCTGTATAGAACACAGAGGGCTAATCTGCCACAGGTGTCAGCACTACATGGTGCTGGAGAGTGCTATCTTGCTGGTGGGGCTCTGGAGGTACAGCCCTCTGGGGGTACGAGTTGTCATTAATGTGCTATAAGTCTCCAAGTATGCCTGACTTGGAACCAGCAATCCTACTTACGCGAATGTGCCACAGACAGAGCTGCCTCTTAGTTCTGTGGGGTGTTATTTTTAAGTGCCCAGCTAGACAACATGCCCAGCCAGAAAAGACACAGACGGAGGAAGTTAGGATACATCTAAAGAAGGAATAGTTTGTAGTAATTTGTGTGTGAACGTGTGTGAAGGTACATATTTGTTCCCATACGTATGCACAGATAGATAAATGTGTACACGATAGACAGGGTCCTTATTTGTCAATTGAGAAAGGTTATAGAATAGCCAGCATAATGTGCGACCATATAAAAAGTAGATATCTAATCACATATTCCGAAAGAGATTCAATTCCAGTCTTTGATCTCAGCACCAGGGAGTTCCAGGCTAGCCAAGGCTACACAGTGAGACACTGTTTCAAAAAATAAACAAACAAAAACCTAAAAAATAGCTTAATCAGAAGAGTAATATCTAGGATACCTGGGAGGCAGGAGGTAAGCTGAAAATAGTTGGTTAGGCCCAGTGAGACACACCTGTAGACTTAGCTCCTTAGGGTCTAAAGGTGAGTTGAGTTTAGGAGTTCAAGGTGAGTCTGGGAAACATTAAAACCACCTTTTATTTCTGTTCCCCTCAGACTCCACCGTGCTGAGACTTACTAGCATGCCTGACTCAGTTGCCATCCTGGCTCCACCCAGTGCCGTCTTCTGGGAGTCCTTAGAAATGTGATTATGAGAGCCAGGCTCTCATAATCATCAATTTAACCAGGGATTTGGCTCGCCCAGTGCTCTGGGCTCTAGCAACTCAAATCTGAGAGCCACTGAAGGGAGAAGTCCTGTGCCACAGACCCGCTTAAGATTCTAGCGCTTTCCAGGGCCAGGTGGTGGGTGGTGGCACTGGCCTTTAATCCCAGCACTCGGGAGGAAGAGGCAGGCAGACTCTCTGTGAGTTTGAGGCCAACTTGGTCTAGGACAAGCCCCAAAGCTACAGAGAAACCCTGTTTTGAAAAGAAAAAAAAAATGGCTCTCAGCGTCTCTGAATGCGGAAGTATCTTTGGCTGGACAGCCCTTTGCGTTGCGAGAATACAGGGGTATTCTAAACTGCACGTGGGAGAAATCGGCCAGGTGATGAGCACGGCCCCCTCCCCCGCACTGCCACGTGCTCACGTGCTCATTAGGTGTGCGCGTGCGCACCTGTCCAGGCCTGAGGGAGCTCTGTTGCCGGGCGTATTTCCAAGTACTCTTGTTCCGAGGGCCAGGCGCTGTAACTGCCCAAGGACACCCATTTCAGAGGGAAGACGGGATGGAGTTGGACACAACACAGGTAGGCATGGAGAGGGGTGTATCTGGGAGTAGGGCTGAGTAGTGCATGGTGTGTGGGGGAGAAGTCCGGCACCTAGTCCTGCTGATTGCTCTTAGGCTGCCTGCGGGTTAGGACCCAAGGAGTTCCTAGCCTGTGAGAAACTGTCATAGGCCCTGGATGTGCTGTGTGTTAGATGGGTCATGGCCCAGTGGCCTGGCCTGGAGCCCCGGTACCACACACCTTAGACAGCTCTGGGCTTCTTGCTAGTTCTTCCTAGCTAGGGTCAGACCAGAGTTTTCCCAGCCTGATGCCGAAGACTCAGGAACATCCCTGACCTCTGTGTAGTAGAGAATCTGGGTTCCTAAACTATATAGCGTTGCTCTGCCTCAAGAAATGTCAAAGTCATTTTCTTAAAAAAAAAAAAAAAAGAAAGAAAGAAAAGAAAGAAAGAAAACAAAACAAAACTGCAAGATAGTGGTGGCACACACCTTCTTTAATCCCAGCACTCAGGAGGCAGAGAAGCAGGTATATCTGAGTTCAGGCCAGCCTAGTCTACAGAGTGAGTTCCAGGACAGCCAGGGATACACAGAGAAACCCTGTCTTGGAAAAGAAAAACAAAATAAAATTATAACGTTTTCTTTTGGAATATTCCAGTTCCCCTACCCCCAAGTAGTAAGGCTTCCTTAACGGTTTGGGGCTGTCACGACCTGCAGTGGACACTGTTACTCTCCTCGCTTCACAAAGGTGGAGTAGAGCAAGATGGACAAGCGGGCACAACTCTCAAAGTGACCTCAGTCGGTGCACGGGTGTGCTGCCTGCTCGAATTTGTCTAAAGCCCTAAGAAATACAGAAAACACCAACCAACAGAGCATGAATTGCTGCCTGGTGATTTCACATGGAAGAGTTGGCAGGGAAGGAGGCTCGCCCTATGGTGAACACAGATGTGTTTAATTCCAGGACCCTCCTCAGATTCCAGCATCCACTGATGTTCAGGTTCCTTACGTAAAACCTGACAGTGTCTGTGCAGAACCTAGGCAAACCTTGCTTTCTCGTAACCCAGCATGATTCAAACAGTGTGGAATTTACCACTGGGCTGTGTTGTGGTTGGAATAAACGTGAGCAAAACCCTGCATGCTCTCGTGCATGCTGCTGCTACTTTGAAAATTACCTAAATCGGACAGTTTTTTGTTTTTTTTTTCTTGAGCATTTCCCACCTGTACTCAGTTAAATCCACTGATGCAGGGCCTGCGGGTGTGAAGGCTTTCTGTGTCCGTCATCTGTGTCTAAGATAAGGGGTATGCATGCGGGAGCATTGTTGGTTTCATCTAGGCTTTTTCCTGGAGGAGAAAGGTCATCAAGATGACTGGGTTGGGAATATGACAGCTAAATACAGCATGTCCCATCAGCTACAGCAGTGGATCTCGGGCTTCCTAATGCTGTGACCCTTCAACACAGTTCCTCATGTTGTGCTGACACCCCCTCAACCAGACAATTATTTCAGTTGCTACGTTCTAACTGTAATTTTGCTACGGTTATGAATCATACTCGAAACATCTGTGTTTCCTGACAGTCTTGGGCTGCTGTGGAAGGGTCATTTGATTCAAAATGGTGGAGAACCTCTGAACTAGAGCCACCTGCCCAGCTGGCTTCTTCATTTGCCAAAACGTATTGTCTTTTTAATTCTTCCTATGTTCCGATTCTGTTAAATGTTTCACTGATAACACTTAGCTGTTTTCCCTGCGGGAAGGCGGTTTCCTGAGACATTCTCTGTGCTTCGGTCCTGTCCTTGAGACCCATCTCCAGCTGTGGCTCACTGCGCTCTCATTAACTTTCCTTGGAAAGGAACAGGGGAGTGGGAATGTCCTATCATGCACGTGGTTTGATCTCCAGCCATGGGCGCAGACCCTCAGTGTTTAATGTTTCCGTCTCTGTGGCCCCCAGATAGGTGTCTCTGGGCAGTTGTGCTCGGATAAGAATGTACTATGTCTTCACGAAGCATGCCGCAACTGTCTAGAGCCCAGATTTGTGTTCTTTGTCTCTAGGTTCTGGAGTTGAGCTCCTATCTAACAACAAACAGGCCAGGCTGGAAGAACCCTGTCGTGCACAACACTCCTCAGGAGATGGCTCTGGGCTGGAGCCCAAGGCCCCCAGGGAGGAACTTCCAACACCACTGGTCCATCATATCTGAAGACTCCGCCGAGGATCCTGGGTCCCAGCTGGCAGGGTCCAGTCCCACAGCCACCTTCAGAAAAGAGAGGCTTTCGACTATCGAGGACCTAGAGAATTCCAGTGAGCAGGTGGAGCCCCATCCAGACCCTTTAGCTGCAGAGGAAGAACCATGTATGTCAGCCTCGTTGAACAAGGAGCAGTATCAGAAGACAGAAGCCCTGCAGGAAATGAACTGGCCAAGGAACCCAAGGATACCTGGAATTTCAGACAGCCCCTGGCAGAGAAGACGAGACCCAAAGAAGCGGGCAGCTGCAGTAGGTCTCCTGCCTCCCACCCCAGCCCTGTCCTAGGGACTCTAGGTCCCTGTGTGCTTCCCAGCTGTGGTATGGAGGGGGAAGGGGAGCATTTACCTTCCATCACTCAGGTTCCTCTGGCCCCAAGCATGGGGCTGTGCACAGTGTACCCATCTCTGCACATGAGGTCACAAGGCCTTCCAGCTTTCTGACACCCGATGCTTAGATATCTCAAGACAGGTTTTGTTCAGAAGGGAGGCTTTGCCTGAGGACACCATGACTTCCCAGCGCTGGTCTCTGCAAACCTAGTCCCCAGAGCAGGCTGTGGCTGTTCTTTGCCTTAGGTCTCTACCTCATGGGCATCTGGATGCTATGAGTGTCTGTCTCCAGTACTGAGGGTTCAGTAGAGAAGCTGTTGACAGGAATTGGCCATCTAGGTTCTTTACTGCACTTTGATCTGTGCCCTAGACACAGCAGGATGCTGTTACTGCCTGGGAGGGTCCTGAGTTCTCTGGGCCTGGCTGAGCTGCCTCAATCCCTTCCCTTGCCACAGTACTGGGACACAGGTGGCTCACTCTCACACAGCAGGAGCACAAGCCACACCTAACCCTTGCTCTGAGGTGCTTCTGCCTCTCTGGATGTCAGGGCCAGTCTTTACCAGAGCCCTGGTGATTAAGTGAGCACCAGGAAGCATCCTGGCAAGAGCAGAGGCCAAAGCAGCCAGAGCATTAAGAGCATGGATCTTTAGACCAGGTGTGGGGGACACTGTAATCACAACAGTACAAGTCAGAGGCAGGAGGCCAGCCTAGGCTGCATCAGGGAGACCATCTCAGCGAACACATGCTATGTGCCAGTTTCCAGCTCCTGTGCACAGATCCTGCTTCCAAGCTCTCAGATCTATTAACTGACCGCCGGAAGCCTGTGGTGTTGTGAGAGGGCTGGATAGGGAAGCTCTGGAGGAATTTTCTTCCAGCTCATTTCTCCCCTGTATCTCTCCAGAGGATGCTAACCTGTGGGGTAGGAATATCAATACAGCCAGCCACTTTCAAGGGCCTTCGACCCACCGTCTGCAGATTTTAGACTATCACTCCGATAAACTTCAGGTGCTGACCTCCTCTGAGACTGAAAGCCTAGGTCTGGGATCTATACTTGGGGTAACACACAGAAGACAGGGAGGGAGAGCCCTGTGGGTTTTGCTGCTGTCTTAGACCTGGACGAGGGTCCCAGGCCTGCTGGTACTTTTTCCCCAAGTGCATTGTGCATATTGGTTACCAATAGTGACAGCAGACTGTTGTCTGTCTTCTACACAGATGCAACGTTTGCAGCAATGGGAGGCCCAGATGCTTCTGGAAATTGAAGAGGCGGTCCATCATGAGCTTACCATCCAAGACGGGATCCTTAGCATGGAGTTCCCTGACCAAACCCAGGGGCCACTTAGCTTTGGCACAGTCAGGGTAGAAGCCCAGGACCCTGCTACCTTGGAATAATTGGATCATGTACACCACACACTACAGCTGGCCCAGGTGGGTAAGGTGGGAACAGACCTTGTTACCCAAACTGTAAGGTGAGGAAGAACTGGCTAAAGCCTAGGGGAGGTTGAGAGGCACAGTCTGAAAGAGAATGAGCTTCTTCATGTTCTTGAAAAGGTCACTGGGCTTGATTGAACCCTGTGCCCTCTAGTGCCTGGCTGTGACCTCGGGGACAATTGCTCTGCTCTCTGACCCTTGTTTTCCTTATCTGAAAACTGACAAAAACTTATCAAGTGCAATACAAAGCATATGGACCCAGCTGTGGCTGACTTGGCTCCCTCTGCCCTGGGAAAGCCCTGTGCACTGGGGACTTCCTGATTCTCTGGGCTGAGTTCACTCAGGCCTCAAGTGAGGCGGGACCAGAAGGAAATGGGCCATGGAGTTCTGAAATACTAGGCCAAGTACAAGAGTGTGGGTGGTCTCAAGTTCCGACCTTGCCCTTGAAATTCAGCTAGGCCCAATGGTGGAGAAGACAGGCAGACAGAGGGCAAGGCCACCTTCTGGGTGGGATCAGGGATGATACTGATGGAGAAAAAGAGGTTGGTGCGTGTCTCCTGAGGTGGAAGAAACAGGGAAAGAGTACAGTTTAGGATTTGGGTTTAATTTCCTCAAAAATGGATGGGATTGATTTCCCACTTGTCTTCAGGGGAGCATGGTTAGAAAGGTCTGATTTCTAGACACCTGGAGAGCTGCAGCTGCTGCTCAAGGTTATGCTGTGGGCGGGGCCAGAATAGAGCCAGCCCTGTGGTAGCCTGGGTAGTTGCTTCCCTTGTACGGTGTCTCCCCAGGTCCTAGCTAATGATGTACCTCCAGATAATGTAAGGGAGGAGACACTAGATGGCCACCCCTGGAGCTTCAGTTACACCAGACTGCCCCCAAGTACTCTTGGGCTGACCTCTTCATGTAGACATGCTGTGGCCACTTTAACGTAGAGATCAATTTTACTCTGGGATGTTTGCCGTTTTTCTTGCTAAAAACAGACATGTTTCTAGTCCCAGTGTCGTCTTCTCCGCTTCTTGCCTGTCCTGTCCACAGTGGCTGTAGACAAACAGTTAACACGACAGTGAAATGTTTTAAAAGGAGAAAGCGATGATACAAAAGTAGGGTCAAAGTGTATGTGGGGTCCAGGGCCTTCTGCTTGCAGCCACAGGTAACAGGATGCATTGTCTGCTTTCAGGAGCAGGCCACTCACTGCAGCTGTGGCAGGAACTTCGGATTCCGTGTGATGTTCTCTATGAGTTGTAATTTATTTTATATTTAAACATCTGCATATTTTCAAGTCCCTTATTATTAAAATAATCCTCTATTTTCATTTGTGTAATTATCTGGTTAAGAAAATCAGTCTTGAGAGAGTATCAGGGCTTTATTAATTTTTCAGATAAGACAGAATACTATTTTTAGACCTGATGAGAATTGTGTAACATAGAGATGGAGAAGAACGCATCAGAGAAAAGGCCTTCCAATCTTCGCTATTAAAAATAAACTCTTTGCATGAGAACTATTTCCAAAGTTTGTGCTTGAATGCAAATCAATCCTATGTGTAGCCAAGAGAATTCTATTTCAACCTCACTTTTCAAAGACTGAAATTCAAACACAAAATGAGTTCAGGGAAGCAGTTTGGGGCAATGTGTTCTTAAAAGAAAGAATTGCAGGCCTCGGAGGAAGGACTTAGGTGACAGATATTTTCTGGACATTTATGTTAGTTTCCTGGGTTACTGTGTATTTGCCTGGTTAGAGTATACTTTACTAACAGACACTCAGCTGAAGACATTAGAATGTCATTCTTGGGGCTGGCAAGATGGCTCGGTGAGGTAAGGCTGCTTGCTGCCACGTCTGTCAGCCTGAGTTTGGACCCTGGAGTCCATACAGCAGGAGAGAACTGACTTTTTACACATTGTCCTCTGACCTAAAACACCCGCTCGTGTTCCCACATACAAACAAAACAAAATGTAAAAAAATTATTTAAAACATGCCATCTGGGAGGACACTTCACCAACTGGGCAGTATAAATCATCCACACTCATCTGCAGCAAGATACTGATGGGCAATCCAGATAATGCAAGGTCCCTTTTGGACTTTGATACTTTCTGGGTCGCAAGGAGGCCTTAGCTTGAGAGAAACAGACCAGAGACAGGCCGTTCCCAGACTGCAGTGGCAAGGTGCCCCTAGAGCAGGCTGTTCAAACAGCAGGATTCCCAAGTTAACAATCCCATTGACTCACCATAATTGATGAGTCATGGTCCTTGGTGATGTGGTCAACAATGGCTGCTGAGGGATAGGCATGGATTATCTGAGTATTCAAGACCATGTTTTACAAAACAGCAGTCCTAAAACTTGCAAGAAAAAAATAGAAATAGTCTGCTTCCTGGCAGCTCCAATTTGCAATGTCCTCAGCCTCTGAGAGGATTTTCCCTCTAGCTAATCTTTTGCAGTTACACTTGTCTGCACATGGTGCCTCCACACTGGCACCCATTTCTCATGGAGTATGGTTGGGGAACAAATTTCCAATCCTATGACATGCCTGTCTTGGGTTTGAGTTCCCTCATGGAGGGACATCTCCTTTGTTCTGACTAGAAATCATGGGCTTCCTGCTGCATTGCCATTTCCCATGGCTGCAGAATGAGGGACCAGGAGCACAGACTCACAAGCACGCCCCTTTTCCATGGCCCTGCTCTGGGATCCCAGAGTGAGACTGAGGTCACTTCTTACCTGCAATGACCGGACAGAAATCTACCCCCAAGTTTGTTCAAATTGGCTGATTCCATTCCTTTGGGTTACCAATAACTGGCTGGGGTCTTTCTGTTGTACGCAGAATTGTGGGTAGACAAAGTGCCTTTGTTATGGGCAGGCAACCAGCCAGCTCCAAAACAAGGACTATTGCTCCAGGTTCTAGAAGTCAGAGACCATTTTTCATACCCTGGGGTTACAGGCTTATTGCTATGGCTGTTGTCATTAGCACCGGCTGGCAGTGACAGCCACAGGAGTGCCCAGTGGTATGACAGCTCTCAAGCAGGACTTGGAGGCTGGGACCCTCAGGCAGACAGGAACAAGCACTGTAACTTTCTGAGCTCTGTGGGTATGGAGTGAAGACTGTCTTGCTCTCTGGGGCTGATAATCTCGTTTTTCAAGCAGCTGGGACATCAGGGCAGAGTCTAACAACTTAGAATTAGGTCCTCAAAGTCTATCCAAGAGAATCTAAAATTTAAAAGATGTCCTATTTTCAAAACCATCTACATGAACATTGAGAGTGATGTAACCTTTCTGCAGTACTGAAGGCCAGCTGAGCCCCTGCTCCACTGCCCCAGGGAGAGCAAGGCCTTCTAATCTGCTCCCCTGTAGTCGCAGGTGTGCAGGTCTGAGTTTTGTTCTCTTGCTGGATGTCAGAAGAGAGACACTCTGCTCCAAGATGCTGACCGTCTTGCTCTCCCTAGTCATGCATCTAGCTAACCTTCTGAGTCAGTGGTTCTCAACCTTCCTAACGCTGAAACTCCTGCATGCAGTTCCTCATGTTGTGGTGACCCGCCCCCCAACAATGAAATGATTTCCGTTGCTGTTTCCTAACTGTAATTCTGCTGTTAGGACTTGTGATGTAAATATTTTTGGAGTTAGGGCCTTGTCAACGTGGTCACGGCCCCCAGGTTGAGAACCGCTGCTTGAAGCCATTAATGACTGTCATCCTGCAGATCTCTTCAGCTTTTGCTTCTGCTGCCAACCGGACAGTTTTCTGCTCTCAGGAAACATGGAAGGCCTGTGTATCAGATCATAAAGCCTCTGGCACAATTAGGAGTGATACATCATACCATTACAAGTGACGACAATGGGATCTTGGTGGAGGGACATCTTAGAATTTTGTCTTCCACAATGTATTCCCAGTTAGGCACCATCATCAACAGCACAGTGAAAAGCTGGAAGGGGTTGGGGCACCCGCTAGGATTGGTAGGATAGCTCGTCATTGCTAAAATCCTGGAGTGATTTTACCATACAAAGAGAACCAACACTCTGTGGTCCCTGTGACATTTTACGGAGTGAAGACTAACTCTCTGGGCAGAATGTAGAAGTGTGATCTCATTGCATATTTAATATGATGCATTGGTTATCTTTCTAAAAACATCCTGGTAAAGGTGGATATGGCATGATATTGCTTTCAATTTGTATTCCTTTAGTTAGTAATTCAACCGATGACCATGTTTCTGCTAGGGTGTATTTCTTAATTTCAGACTTTCCACAATTCCATATATGCCTTTTTAAAATCTATTGGAATAGTCATTCCATAACTTAAAAAAAATCCTTTTACTAAAACATGATTTTATTTGACCTTAAAGAGGCAGTCTTTAGCAGAGAAAAACTGTACATCATATATGCTGATAGTTAATTCTGGGTCACTTGGATTAAGCCACCCTCCTGTTGTCTGTCCAGACTCCATGGAGTTGTTGATATGAAGGTACTTTAACATGGGACTGCCATTTGTAAAAGACTTAGAGTAAAGCAGGTGACCTGCCACAGGGAGGGTGGCCTCTTGCCTTCAGATGCACTCTGCAAACTGAGCTCCTCCTCAGTCTCCTGACAGGCTTCAGACATGCCAGCCCCCAGCCCCCAGCCCCCAGCCCCCGAGTCATGTGAGCCAGTCCCTTAAGCTGTTGTTTTTGCACTCCTCCTTGACACCAGAGTACACACCCACACCCTCTTGCCCTCCCTCTTGCTCCTCAACCACTCCAGAGAACTTGAACACAGCATACAAAGGAAACACAACTCAAAAGGAATGCCTCCGTGGCAGACAGCGAGACTGTAGACATGATATCACCAGTTTAGTGTTGTGCTCAGGTTATTGGTTTTTGTTTGCTTGGTTGGTTTTTATTTTATTTTTTATCTTTTAAGAAGGGGCAATGAAAGCAGCAGATATATAATAATAGTCTAGGGGCAGAATGCTTGCCTAGCATGTACAGAGGTGATGGAGATGTCACAGAGAGTAAAATGAACAAATAAAATAAAATACTGAGTCCTTCGCTAGAGGAAGTGCTGAAAAATTCAAGATGTAATGTTACCGACAGACTAAGCCTGGAGAATCCATATGAACATTTAAATGTTATCAGAGAAATATCTGAGGTTCACAGAACTCTATGACTAACATCCAGGCAAGAAAAGTGAAGGAGGTGGTGCTGTAAAAACAAACATGATTTTATGTGACATTTTGAATAATAATGTCCCCGTGCCCCATGAATGAGCATGAAAGGAGTCAAGAAGTGCTCCACAACACTTGTCTTTCAGTGAGACGGGCCAGAGTTTAGTCAAGCAATTTTTCTCTTTTATTTTTGTTAAATAAGACTCCATAGAGTATAGTGCAAACACTCAGTAGAAAAGTTGCGATTAAGAAATGTACATTCACATTAACATTTCAGTTCATTCACGGTTTAAATAAAAATAGGACAAATTATTCAATTACTTGTCTCCGTTTAACAATCTTGAAAAAGACTGGAAGGTGCTCTACAGAGTTGACATAAAAATAGACCCGTATTGATTATACAAATCTATTGTGAGAGGTTACCCAGTGATATTGAGTTATTGTGACTATAATCATCGCGTTCTCTCAGCTACGGACGCATCTGGTGAGTTTGTGTGGGAGAAAATGCCCCCTTTGTCCATGCACCCTCCATCCCACTAGGACTTGAAGCTTTCTTGATAAACACAGGACACAGGTGCTTACATGCCTTTTTTTTTTTTTCAAAGTAAGGACATACAGAAGTGGGTTTTTGGGCTTATACTTGAAATCAGGATGTAATTACTGCTAAGATATGATCATAATGACATTCCCATTTGTGCAAACCGGTGAGCAATCAGCTTAAGTGAGGATGGTGGGAAAGGGAGCACGGGCTGATGGGATAGGGTGGACAGGAAATGCTGGAGTCACATGGGTTCCACAAAACCTGGAATTGACTGGCAGAGGGGAACACTGAGTGCTCCCAACAAGCAGTAGAGGTGACCTGAAGACAAGCCCAAGCCATCCATTCTTTCGGGCATGCGACATAATGTCAAATTGAAACTAAGGTGCATACAATTAGGAATCTCATGGCATGCAATTCCAAAGTGCAAATGGCTTGCATATACTCAGTTTTAACAGGGGTGAAGGCAACAGAACAAGCCCCTCCTCCCCAGGCATGTGTGCTCCTGGTGACCAGTTGTGCCCACACTGCCAGTGATGTATGCAAGAGATGCCAGGGGCTTCTTTGGGGTCCCCACAGGATGGGAACAGTCTCCTGAGACTTGTGCTTCATGGGCCTGGGGCCTGGGGCTGAGTGGAGGCTGCTGGTGGGAGGTAAGAGACAAGTTCTGGCTGCTGTCAGGCCCACTTCCCACTGCAGTGCCACAGGCGATGGTGGCATCACCCACAGGCAGATGGAGTGGCCTGCAACTGTCCTTGCCTAAGAGATTTCTGGAGCCAGTCTCAGAAAGCATCTCCACGGAAACGCTAACTCTCAGAAAGCGGCTCTATGTGTTTGGAAACTGATGTACCTCAAGTGGACGTCACCTGGCATCGGCAGGTCACACTTAGAAGGCATGTGGGGCTCTTATACTTGACAGGCTAGGCTGACGTACTTCTTGCCATCCATCATAGTCCCTTCACTGCTTGCTTTACAAGCCTGGGGAACCTCCTCGAAACGTCCCTTTAATCCCTGGGCAGGCATCCTCAGGGCCAGTGCCGTGCCTGCCGGAAGCATGTGACAGAAATGGCTGTAGAGCGCTGAAGGTCAGAGCTGTAACTGGAACCGGGCTGGCTGTGTGGAGGAGGAATACAAGAGTGGGGCCTGGGCTCTGCAGGAAAGAGTGTTTCTAGAAGATTCCCACTGAACACCATGACAGTTTGTGTTTCAGAAAGTTTTAGAATTTCAAGGGCTACAAAACAGGGCTCGTTCAAGCTGGGCATCTAGATTCTTACTGGATGTCTGTAACCTTGGAGGAATGCAACCGGTGTGAAAGGAACCAGACAGCTCTAATTTAGCAACAAGAAGCCAAGGACTACAGAACCAAACAGCACTCGGCCACATGCCCCAAATATGGGGTGTAAGCAAGCCTTGCCCACAAGGGACCAGCCTCCACGAGGTGCCCTGCACCACGCACGGTAAGCATTGTTGTACAGCCAGTCCCATTGACAGCAACCCAGTTCCTACAGGTTTCAGTTTGCTTAGCAGAGACCCTAACTGTAGGAGAAAACACACAGGTTGGCCAGAACAGAAGAGGAACTGAGGTACAGCCCCTCCCTCTCTGCAGGCGGCCTCTGAACAACACGCATTGGGGATCATCCTACCACTTCCTCCACGGGAGGTGTCCAGGGATTGCCAAACTAGATGGGAATACTAGTAATGCGTGTTCGATCAATTTACAGTCGTATGAAAGGCCCCCAAAGATGGTAACTAACGGGGCGATGATGCAAGGATGAGCGCCCTCCCTGTGGTTGGCCGTGGACTTAGCAGGCCTAGCAACACGCTGAAGAAAGCACAGTACATTCGCTAGATTTTAACCGACCGAACACTTGTCAGGACGGGACGTGGCGCAACTCGGGTCAATTTTCTGAGTTTTAAGACACTTTTTTCCCCAGCCACTTCTGAACCACAACCCAAGACAGCCTTCTGAGTCTTGCTCTTCCCACTGCATAAGCCAGACAGGCAGCAGCTGGCACAACAGGTGGAGGACGTGGCCCCCTACATCAGCTCCTATAACTTGGAGGGAAGGGTTCATGGACCACTTTGCTTCTCCCTCAGAATTGTGATGGACACTCACCCTGGCATCTCTCTGCACAGTATCCGCATGGGCCCTAACCCTCAAACCAACAAGACAAAAGAAATGGGAGCAACAGATTGCCTCAAGGCACGGGGGCCTGAAGTTCTACTGCAGCAATCCCTTTGCAGAAGAGAGTTAGCGGTCCTCACCGCACTAGTCAGGGACATGTGCCCATCCTAGGGACATGTGCCCATCCTACACCCCCCAAAGGAGGGGGGCTGGCAGGTGCTGCCATGGTCTGTGGGATGCTGTCAAAAAGGATGGTCAGCTGACTGTATTCAAATTTAGTTTTGGTCCTTCTGTTAATCACTTGATCCTAGGAGAAGTAATTCTATGCTGTCTGTATAAGACATGTACACATATGTTTACACATGCGCACAGGAGCACACATTGATTTGAACTAAGTGTGTCCCCAAGTGTTTTTGTTGTTGTTGTTTTGTTTTGTTTTTGTTTTTCAAGCTACTGGACAGATCTAGTATATGTGGAACAGAATGGCTTAAAACAGTTAAGAAAACTTAAAAAAAAAACACACATCTGAGTTATTACATAAAGACCTGTTGATTAGATAATTGGTTTAGTGATAGAATGTAGCGCTTGAAGTTGGATCTGAAGTGTTTATGAAATGGACCACAGGGTGACAAACCTCATGCCCTATTGCTGGACCTGCCTTTACGAGGAGTGAACACACAGGGCAAGGCCGGAGACCCCAGATATATCCCAAAGTGCCCTCTGAATTCTTGGAGGTGAGGCAGAACCTGGAGAATGCGGACACCTGCCTTGCCTGACCCAGTGTGTCTGTGAGGATGTGTTCACTGTGTGCTTGACTGCGGGAGGAAACAGCTGCTAGAGCCTCTGACATCCTCCTACCTCAGTCCATAGAGCATCCCAGATGGGCTCCAGGCAGGAGGAGAACCCTGTGCAGCTGATGTCAGCCAGCAGCAGGACTAGGCCACCACAGATCATCCAGATGTGGAAATCAAACTCTCCAGAATCCTCCTTCCAGTGAGCTGCAGAAGCCTTCCTGAGCATGCCCTTCAGTTCTGTCCTCACCCTACCCTCCAGGCAGAGATCCTCTGACCAGGCCTCACACCGTCTGCCTTCCCAGGAACCTAAAAAGGTTCCTGGATTCTAGGCCGTGTGCCTCTGGATCCACACTGGTGTCTTGTGGTACCAGCTGACCAAATAGGCACCAGGAGTTGCTTAGTGCCAAAGTGCATCCATTTCTACCATATCCATCCTGCCAGCTGTGAACATCCCAAAGCAAGCACACACACTGACACCCACACATTTTTAATCGTCAACCTATGCCCAAGCCTGCAGTTGTAAATGAAAATGAGGAACTACTGGTTCAAATCCAAAATGGAAACATTCAAAGCCAATGGCAGTTGGAGAAGCAAGATGCTTTGGGGCCCACATAACATTCAAGATGCCAGATTTGTTCCTTATTAGTTTTACCAAGCCAAACACCTGGGAGGAGGGGGGTTTTGTTTTTTGCTTTGTTTATGTGTGTGTGTGTGTGTGTGTGTGTGTGCACATACATATGTGCATGGGAGAGCACACTAAAAGTGGAGCCACTGAAAAGCATGAGCAAGTCCGTTTCTGGGGGTCACGTATGTATAGCCATTTAAGAAAGTAATACACCAGCATCGCTTCTGCAGCCTCTCGTGGTGTTGGTGCGAGAGCAGGACACGTAGGAACGTTCTTTCCCTGCCACTGCTTGCTTGCTGTGAAAGGTACACACTTGCTCTGTAACCCCCACTCCCAACGCCCACTGACTGAAGCTCTGTACGGGCTGTGAACGAGATGCCTGGGACGCGGAGAGCCCTAGAACTTAACCTTGATGAGAATGGTGACGGCTGGGAGACTCAACTGAAACCTTCCCTACTTCCACAATCCAAACTGCTCGCCTCGCACCCAGTGCATGGAAGCAAGCCATTCACACAGCCTCTGCAGGCTGCTGCCAGTGCTTGTTATGGCACAAGTGTCCTTAGGGTTGCACATAAATAAAATGTGAGGTCTCTGGAGGCTAATCACATCTGCCAGCTGAGCCCACAGCCTGAATCCTCGATGCTAGTCAGGGCTCCCTTCCTAGCCCTTTCCTCTTATACCCTCAGGGATGGCCCGCTCCAACACAGAGCCCTTCTCCCACCAGGATGGCACTGATCAGGGTGAGAAGTGCAACCTTGAATATGGCACCGTTTTCTTTAGATGGCATTCCACAAGTGCCTGGAAATGTCACCTTTTGATGCTCACACCACTGAAACAAACCATTTCGATTTGATGCTCACACAGCTGAAAGAAACCATTACGGTCAGTCACACGGAGCATCATGATTCGAGGGTAGGTACAGATCCAGGATAATGTGGCTGCCCTAAGTTTTATCCCTTAGTAATAGTATGGGGCCCAGGACTGGTGGTTGGCTCAATCTGCTTAGCTATCTGGGGTACCAATCCTGGCTCTAGGAACCAAGAAGCTAGAGCTGGGCCTTCTGGGAGGGGTGGGGACCTGGAATGTCAGTCCTTTATAGCAAACTCACATGCACGGGTAGATTCCGAAGTATCAATCTGCTTGGGCCAAACTTGTCTCTGCAGTATAGAGTTATGGTTATTGCTTCTATGACAGAAGGGGTCCGGAAGCCCTGGTGGCTTTGGAGTCTGAGAAACAACTGGGTTGCTGGATGTGTGGGGACACACACCTGAAGGTATAGACGCTCCAGGAGTAGACCGTCCCAGGTTGGCACAGCCCGTGGAAGCATTTGGAAGCATTCTGGGGGCTGTGTTCTATTCTACGATGTCAGGCACGGGAGGCATGCTGGGGTTGAGAAGGGAACACAAACGGGGTCATTTCCCAAGGGCCAAAGCATCACAAGCAGGGGCTGACACGGGTGCCAGGCTTTTCCTCATTTTTGGTACAAGTGGACAGGAAGCACCTGTAACTGGTGCACTATTTACAGAGCATCTTAAAATAAATAATTTGGAGAGAATCCTACCCAAGTGGCTCTAACATTTGTACATGAATACTGTACAAGATTAAAAATAAATAAGGCAATATAATACATTTTTATCACAAATAAAAAGAAAATCGTTTATCACCAAACCCCGAGGAACATTATGGCTGCAGGTGTGGATCCTGACCTCATAAGAAGTAGGCGGGGTTGGAACTGCTGATGATGGAGATGTCGCCCCTGAAGAAGAGACCCAGCCAAGGCTCCTGTGTGGTCTGCTTCAGAACGGTTCTGTGCCCAGAGAAGGCAATGTCACCCTCTACAGTTGCTTTCTCTTGCTCTGATCACGCCGTGAGTAGCTCTGCCCAAGCACCCGTGTTACCTCCACTTTGCACACTCCGTGTGAGTGTTGCACACTCCGTGTGAGTGCAGTGCTACCGGCCTTGGCTGGCTCTGCTCAGAGTCTTAGAGGTCAGATCCGGGTGTCGCGGGGTTCCTCCCTGATGGCTCTGATGCTCTGCCTGCTTACTCAGGGCCAATTTCAGTCCCCCCTGTGGTTGTGGGAGTGACATCCTGGCTTCTTGCTTGGCTGGAGCTGTGTTCTCCTCATGGGTCTCCTCAGTGTGTGCTCCATGCCTCTCTCAGCCTATCCATCCTTCTGTTGACTTCTGAGAGTCCATGTGTCTGCACCAACCCCACCGGTGCAGTCTAGAATCCTTGCTTACCCTTCAGCGGCTACCCTAATTCCCCTTGTGAAGCTCCTTGGCTGACAGAAAGGACAAACACACAGGTCCTGGGACTATCACGTGGGCAGCTTTGAGAACCACCCCTCTGTCCATTTCCTGGACAGCCCAGAACAACAGCAGTTCTGGAGGCCCAGAAGCCACTCTGAGGAAACCCAGGCCATGCTTGCGGTTTTCTGCCATTCTTAATGACCTAGAAGACCAGGGATGGCACCACAGCCCGCAGAACCGCGGCCACAATGTACTCACTTGCTCTGGGTGCTCCTGTCTAAGCTGACTGCTTCAAATCCGGTTAAGACAGACAGACAGGTAAGAAAGTCCTAGTGAAAACGAAGCCCATGAGGAAAAACTATTTGTACCAAGGTCAGGCAAACAAGAGAGCAGACAGGAGACGGGCGCTACAGAGAGTTGCCTGCCCTAGCCAGGATCTGGCTCAGATGAAATCTGTCCTCAGAGCCCCACCTCCCCAACAGTCTGAAACTTTCCCATAAATGCAATCTCTGATGGAATTCTGGACCACGGGAGAAATGCAAAGACTCCCCCCTGCCCTCTCCTCTACTGGAGTCAGCACCCCCAGCAATGCTATCCCAAAACCCCAAGCCCCAAGAACCAGACATGACCACCTGAAGAGGGTGAAGCGAGCCACTCTCCAGCCCTGAAGGCTGCACTGGAGTGCTGAGGTGGGTCTGGCCCCCACTCTGGGGTCTAGCCAGAGTAGGGTGCCAGAAAGGCAGCAAACGATAGCCACACTGCCTGGTATCATCAGAAGGGCAGCAAAGCAGGGTGGGCACAGGTCAGAGCTCCTCTGCAGACAGTGTCAGAGGCTCCCTTTAGCATCAACCACAAGTTCCAGCGTGAAGAGAATGTTCAGTCTCCACAGCTGCCCCACGCCCACCTGAGGGCGCCTATAGTGCAGTCTACAGTCTCAGATGCTTGGAAACTTTGCAGCCAGCCTCTAGCTCTCCCTTGCTTGACACTTTCTTCCTACCCACATGCCACCTGAGTCTCCCATGGATAGCTGACTGACCTACCCAGGCCCCGGCAGGGCCACACACTTGAGCCAGCGCGGAGTTGAGGACCAGGGACCCCACATATGCGCCCTGCTGCTGAAGGCTGGGTTTTGCTCTGCCTCAGTCTAAGAAGACAGGACCCTCGGAAGGGGGAAAGCCCTTGGGGAGCATGAGAAGATGGGCCTCCACAGCCATGGGCTGTGCCCACCTGCTCTGCTTGCAGGCTGCCTCCCTTCCTGTGAGTGAGGCTGCGTATTTCCAGATTTCATCCAGCTATTTCTGGCCCACGGCTTCTTAGCAGCTCTTCCAGGCTCCTGTCTCCCACACTTGTGGTTTTCATCTCAGCTGCAGACAGGGAAGCGTAGACGGGAGACCCCCACCCCACGCCCTGTCAACAGGGACACTCTTTCCCTTCACTCTGGAGCAGGGACACCACACCTAAGGCTCAGGAACACACACTCTGCCAACTCTGAAGCCCCCAAGAGGAGGAATGGTTATACCAGAGAAACGATGTCTTCCAGCAAGGAAAGTGCTTGTGGGTAGCATGGTCGACCACTCTTAGCATAAACGAAGGCTTGATTCTTGTTACACTCACAGTGTCCAAGACACCACAGAGAAGGCAAGTCAGCATACACCCCTCTTCTCTGAATGCGTAGCGATGGCACCGGAAGAGGAGGGCCCACTGTCACGGGAGTCAGAATCCAGCAGGCAGGTGGGGTTGGAAGAGAATGCACAGGCCAGGAGGCTAGGAGTGGGGCTGGAGGGACCCCGAGGATTCCAGAAGACCTGCCTCTGGCTGTTGGCAAAAGCCTACTCTTGAGGAAAGCCAGCAACGTTACTCTTCATGCAGTAAGAGGTGGCTTTTCAATGCTTCCTGTTCTGTCCTGTCCAAGACCTGACCAGCTCTAAGCTGTGCCCATGGTATGAATAGCTCAGCTGTCGTGGCCCTGCCCAGCGGGGCCCACTTCCCAGTCTGGCACTCAAAACTGCTACCCAGGGTTGGAACTACCCATAAACCACGGCCTACGAGGGCTGGAGCCACCCATAAGCCAGGGCCTACGAGGGCTGAAGTTACCCATAAGCCAGGTTGACTTGAGGCTCAGTCATGGTGGGCTCCTCTGCCAGCTGGACCTTCATAGTTTTTGCTATGACCGTGGAAGATTATTCCTAAGGTCCCAACATGCCAACACTAGCCGGGCATCACCAGGTCACTAGGAAGAGACAGGGCTCCGTATGCCCAAGTGGGTGTCTTGGGCACATCTCCCATTGGCCCCAGGCCAATGCTTCTTCTCCAGCCAAGTCGCGTGGCAACTGCTCCTCTGGCTGGTCTTGGAGCCATGGTGGCTGGTGTCACCCTGGAGCACTCTTGTTTTGCATGCATCTCCAGTGACCCGTGAGCTCCACTAGGCTTCCTTCCCTGCTGCTGTGGATGGCAGGTGCTGGCTAGTGGGGGCTGGGGGAAGCCCCGGTCTGATCGGGGGTCCGGCTGCAGGACACAGTGGGGGCCGTCTGGGCTGACCTCCACCTCTTCCATAAGGACACAATCTCCGCTCCAAACGAAAGGTCCTGCCATGGGAACTGTTTCCTTCAGTCCTGCCTTCTAGAAAGTACGTTAGCATCTCTCCCTTGCCCTTGACGCTGACTTTGCCTCTGCACACAAACTGGTACGCGCACCTCTTCAGCAACCGGTGGACCTCCTCAGTCACCTGCCAATGGAAAGAAGCCAACAATATTCTTGATCATGCACTATGAGGGGGTCCTCTGGAGGCCAGGAGCTCTCCAGGGTGACATCTACCCTGCATCTCACTCTCCATCCTGGCTGCCCAACTCTGGCAGTACTTGGACAAAGCGACTCTGTATCTAGGCAGGTGCAGGCAATGGGGCTAGGGATCCAGCAGGGCTTGGGTGAGCCATTGCGGTCACTTTGTGCAGACGTCAGGGCTATGTGGGACTAGCCTCAAAGTTATGGATAGAGGGGCTGAGGAAGGTTCTCTGGCGGGGGCAGGTTCTCTGGCTGGGGCCTCCAGATTCCTCGGCAAAGTAATCTGGTGCTTTTACCCCACTACTTAGTTGTTAGGGTTGGGGTGCAGCTACTAAACAGTACACAGAGAGCAAAGAAAGCTAGGAGAAAATGGCTGTCCCTTAACTCCTCTTTTCTCAGGCTTCAGACCAGTGTCCTGGCTCCAAGAATTCCTGCCTCCCAAAACAAGCAAAAAAAGATAAAGGATGAGATCGACCTGATCCTTGGCATCATGCTAAGCCAGCGGAGGAGGCCTCTCCACCTCCTTGTCACCTGGCTTCACATCTCCTCCTATTTTATGTCCGAACAATGAAATTGTCTCAGCCTGCCTTCCACACTCTGGCAGAGCTGGGGAGGGTGGCTCCCACATCAACCTGAGCACTGGTGTCAGAGAAATCAAACAGGAGCCTTTTCTGTCAGATATTAGAAACTGTGGGTTCAGGGCAAAGAATTCAAATCTTTTTGTCTCTCTTCCACCCCATCAGAGTTTCACGCAAATGCTTCAGTCCTCAAACCCTGCAAACCGTCTGTCTACACAAACACTGCTGTCTCCAAGAATTTGACGGCCCAGAGTAGTAAACCCTTTCCCTTCCTCCTTTATTTTCACTTTCTTTTTTTCTTTTCAGATTAACTGATCAAATCAAATGGTGAGGTTAGACCCTAGCCAAAGACACCATCACGACCCGAGTTAGAACAAAATCTAAAGGTGTTTCCTGTGTCTGTGCCTTTGCCCTTCTGATCAAGAGTTAAGTTTACCTTGCCCAAACACTTCAGATGGAGTGGTGCTCTCTCTCTTTGCAACCCTGACCTTACTTCTGACGCTAGGATGCCTACAAAAGGGAAGGAAGGCAGAGGCGTTGGATGGAGCAGGGAGACCTATAGGGAAGGCCATTTGAGAAGCCATGCCCGGGGCAGAGGAGCCGAGTCACAGTCAAGCTCAGAGCACATTCTAGAAACAAATGCAACGTTGGCTTCAAGCGACAACAGCCCAGCTGCATAGGAGACGGTCTCTGTGATGGCGGATATTGGCTGTCAACTGTGAAGTTGTCAACCAGAATCAACTAAGAGGCAAGTTAGTGGGAACCCCTCTACGGGATTTTGTTTCCTTGACCAGGTTACGCGAAGGGGGAAGACCCGCCCTCAATGTGGGTGACATCATCCAGTGGCAGACACATAAAAGGTGGCCTGAGGGGGCGTGCTCTGCTTTTGCTGCTGGCTTTGGTGTTGCTCTCCACGTCACCCAAAGGGTCATCTACCCTAACTGCATCTTGCTGTGAGACCATCTGCCCTCTCGCTGCTGCCACCATTTGCTGGCATTAGAACGCTGCTTCTTTGACCTTAGAACACTGTTTCTTTGACCTTCCAATGTGGAAGCTCTCCAGGAACCTTCCAGTAGCAGACTGGGGCGACTGAGAAATCCAGCATCACAGACTGAGCAGCTACCAGGCTCTCAGCTTCTCCAATGTGAAGGCAGACATTATTAGACTCCCTAGATCCATACAGTACACACACAAAAAAATCTAATGAAATCCCCTATAGTATATATTCATCCTATCAGTTCTGTTCCTCCGGAGAACCCTGACTAGCAAGTTGCCTTTATCCGGATATTTTAGCCCAGCAACAGAAAGAAGCTAAGACGGAAGTGCATATTAAGAAGTGGGGCTGTGACTGCGATACACCTGACCGTGTGGGTCTTAAGATGTCGAGATGTTACCCACGGCGGGAATGTGGAAGAGTCTGAAACTCTGGGCTAGGAAAAGCCACTGAATGCTGGCAGCGGAGCTTAAGGGGCCATTTCGTTGGAACCTGGAAAACAGGAATGCTGAGAGAAATATGGACCATGGAGGCCCAGCTCATGACATTTCAGGGGGTATCAGGCGCTGGGCTAACAACCATCTGTGTAGTATTTCTGCCAACAATCTGCCTTCATTCTGCTGTGCCCTGAGAACTTGAGCGGAGCAGAATTTAAAGCTAATGGCCCGCTTTGATGGGCAGGGGAAATGTAAGGAGATAAAGGCAATCAGCCTGGGGTTGAGAAGGCAGCTGTTACTATTAAAGGGCTCAGCAGGACTGAAGAGAACCCTCTGCAACACACTACAGTGGGAGGGATGGCCTGAGGGTAACACCACACCGCTATCTTGGAAAAAAATCCCAATTTATTTAAAGGGAAAGAAAGCCCTAAGAGAGCTAATGGCTTTCTCTGTTCTTTGAACACAACTGCCAAAAAGAGTGCTTCTCTAGGGCCAGGAGAAAACAGGTATAGCTATGATCTAAGGATCTGGTCTCCATCCTCAGAGAGTGACAGAGTGCATGTAGTGGCATGTATGGTGCTGGTTTTGGAGGCATAGAGCATGCAAGACTGAGGGGGTCAGGAGTACAGCCAAAACCAGGCAATATGAGGCAGGGTCAAAGTCCCAGAACAGAGGTCTCAAGAGGCTACTGTGTGCTTTGGGAGGCTGTTAAGGTGAGACCTCAATTGCAATGGAGACCCAGGAGATCAGAGAAGCCAGGCTGGGACATTCAAGCAAGGAGGGCTGTGGGCAAGGAGGGCTGTGGGCAAGGAGGATTGGGACCCAGATGATTACATTATGAGTCAAAAATAAAATACTCAATACAAGATTTAGCATTCGTCCTGCTGGATTTTGATTCTGCTTTGGTACAACTGTTTCTAGCTATGCCCTGGCTCCTCCATTTTAGAAGAGGCATGTTTAGAAGTGCCAGTATATATGCTGGAAGAATGTAACTTCTTAAATTTGATATTTGGACTTTGACAGTGTTGTGGTTGTTGTTACTAACAACTATGGAGGATCTTTATTTTGGCTGTAATAGACTTTAAGATCGTCTTGAGCCTAGGGGACCAAGGTGTGGAAGTTTATGGCTTAAAAGGGGTTTGTGTGTGAGCCTCGAGTTGACAAGGGATACTAGTAGTGTGTGTTTGTGTGTGTGTGGGGGGGTTAGTTAGTATTGTCAACTGGACAGAGTCTAGAACCCCTTGGGAGAAGGGTCTCTGGGAATTGCCCGGAAGGGGGCTGTTTTGATATGGGAAGACCCGTCTCACTTGTGGGTGGAGCCTGGGCTAAGCTATCAGAGTACTAGCATGCATGTATCATCGCTCTTTTGTCTGCAGCACAAAATGCCATCAAGTTCCCTCTGGCCTGACTTCTGTCATGACAGACTGCACTTGAACGACTCTGAGCTAACATAAACCCTTTCTCCACTGAGTTGTACAGTAACAAAAGGTGGAAAGCCTCCCTTGGGAATGGCTGGTCCGGGGAAGTCGATGCAGAGTGTAAGCACACGCTCCCCATTGACAACAGACTACATGTCCTAGACAGGACAGCAGGGGTAGCTGCACCACTATAAGGATGCTTGGTGCACAAAGTTATGCATGTCAATGGTGATGACAGTGCATTTTGTGTGTATTTTACCACAATAAAAGAAATCTGAAAAAAAAAATTAAAGAAATGTCATCAAGACAAAAATGCCGAGCCACTAAGGGGCACTGAAACTTGGTGCTGGAACTAGAAACTGGGGCACATGCTTGTACCCCACAGTGAAATGATGTAGACTTTCTGGCAAGTTGAAGGATCAACGCCTAGTAGGGCACTGCGCCATAATAACCATGGAGTCAGAAAACCCTGGCTGTGACAGCGGCCGAGCCACAGCAGGGGACCTGCACTATCTCTCAGCTGGCCTGTGTTCACGACCTGTTCCTACAGGTCCTGAAACCAGGGGGAATGCACCAGAAAAATAACCCCAGAAGGTTGCAGTTCTCTGGTGGATGGCAGGAGGCCAGGGCACCCTTTATAGGTCCCATGCAACCCACAGGACTACATCTAAATGACAGCTCTCATGTTATTCTAGGGGCAAACACCAAAAGCTGGACCGTCCTCCACACCGATGAGGACCAGATGCCGCCTTTCAGTGGTTCCTAGAAGACAGAGCCGCGGAGTCTTGTCCTGTCAGGATGAAGCTCCTCAGCAGCAGTGGGCATGTTCACCATCCTGCACTTCACACACAAGAGACATCTCTGCCCCACCATGCTCCTACAACAGTTCAATAGTGACCCTGGTTCTTTGCTTATTTCTTTTTTTGCTTTTGAGACAGAATCTCACTATAAAGCGCTGGCAGTCCAGGAACTCACTGTGTAGACCAGGCTGGCCTCAAACTCACAGAGATCTGCCTCTCTTTGCCTCCCGAGTGCTGGGATTAAAGGCGTGTGCCACCAAGTCCAGGTGTGACCACAGTTTTGAAACAAGGAAGAGCAATGAGAAGCCAGGCTGTCAGGTCACTTGGTGACCCCTGATTCACTGTGATCCTCAAGTTTGCATTTGCTCACTCAGGAGTGGCCCAAAGGAGGCGTGGGAAAAATCAAACAGTAAAAGCAATCTGCCAACCTCAACAGTGTTGTCCAGGCTCCCAGAAGACACCAGGACACTCAGCTCCATCTGCCCTGCCACTTACAGCTCACAGACCCAAGCTCACCTTGGATCCCTAATGCCTCAGTTTCCTCACTTGCTGAACGGATCCCTGTGTCTTTGGGGTTGCTGGGTCATTTACCTGGATTCTGCCCTGGACCCCAGTGCTGTCCATCCGACTGGCCACATTGACTGTGTTTCCCCAGATGTCGTACTGGGGCCTGCGAGCGCCGATCACTCCCGCCACCACAGGGCCAACGTTGATGCCTGGAAGACAGTCACAGAGTGGCCTGTGGGCAGCTGGAAAAGTGTGGCAGGGCAGCCTGTGTGCTGATGCTGTTCCTGGTGAGAAGGCACGCACCCTTCAGTCTCAGGGTGAGGGGTCACATAGAGCCAGGTCCCTTTCTAAAGGCGCCTCCAGCCTAACACAGGTGGCAGCAATCCAAATCAACCAATCCAAACCAGCCCAGGTCTCCCCAGGTGGGCCAGCGGGCAGCCCACTCAGCATTAGCGACCATACCCGCAGCAGCACTGGCCTGGATGCAGGAGAAACCCGAAGAGGTAAGATCAATGCTAAAAAGGCTTTACTAATAAACTTACTTAAAAGGTGAGTACTGTGTGAACTGGCTCCTTAGAAAGGAAGTGTTGGTTGCTGAGAAAGTTTCTGTTCACCTTTGTTCACCAAGGTTGACCTCTAATTAGGCTCCATCCCCGTAACAAAAGGGGACAAGCCCAACCTACAACCATCCCACATCAAACAGCATTTAGGGCAGCTCAAAGGTGCAGAGTCACAACCCTGGTTAAGACCTGGTCTGCCTTTAAATCCCCTGTGCTCTCATCCGGAAAAGCCTAGTTCTGCCCCAAGTGGGCCAGAAGAGCCAGGGTAATTATTTGAAAAGAACAAAGAAAGAATTCCGGCAGGATCTTTGCTGCGTAAATCTCCCATCTCCCAGTGGCCAGACTTACAATCTCCTGTCTCATGTGACTGGGGGCATGGAAGAGACGGAGGGATGGCAGCACCCACACAATGCACGAGCCTAAGGTCTCTATAGTTTAGGGAAAAGTCTTCGGTTCATCACCGGCTGCTCTTTGGGCATTAGCCAGAGCTGGACTCATGTTGTCAGTAAATATCTTATTTTTTCTGAGTGTGTGGAGTGGATTCTTGCTAGGACATATTTCTGCGTCACTGTCACTTTGTCCCTTGTGCAAAGTCCTGCTCTGGAGCTACCAGGAACTCTGGCTCAATAGCCTTGATGATCACCGTGTTCCTTGCCTCTAGGCACATCTCCTCTGCCCCCCAAAGTAGCCGTAGCTTCCTAGGATATTGCTCAGAATGGGGGTCTTAGCACCAAGAACAAATTCAGATGTCCAGGGAGGAAGGCATGAACCCCGTTTCACCCCGTTTCCTTCCACAGGTCAGGGTCCAGCTGGCCTCAAGGACTTGGACAGCTCTGCAGCATCCCCTCTGGTCCAGGTACACTCAAGTCTGGGTTACCATTTGTGAGAACTTTGACTAAGTGTTCACCTTCTCTGCGTGGGTTTCCTTCCCTGTAAATGCCCTGTGCCATCCTGTCCTGGTCCGCCCTTAGTCGGACATCTGGCACACTCTCATGTCAGCCTACAGGTCGCTGACCCTGCAAATGGGATCTGCGTAGATGCCACTTCCTGCCTGTCTATCTGGGCATGTGAAGCAATGTTCCTGAACTTCTTCTCAAGTCACAGACATGGGTGACTCAGGGAGGACACCTGATAGGATTCTAGGAGCTACCTTTGTGAATCTCAGCCACCTATAGCCAGGTAGGGGAACCTGGGCAGGGACTGGCCGGCTGGAAAGTAGAGCCATAAGGGACTAGCATCCAATCCCATTGCGGAAACAACACAGGGACCAGGGCAGGGGCAGAGGGATCTCCAACAGATCCGGTCTGTGCCTTGTTACATTGGCACTGGCATTGATCAGAGCCTGGGGCCCGAGGAGACTGGCCACTAGGAAAGAGGCCAGGGCCGCTCTGCCCCTGTCCTCAGGGGACACCATGTTGAAACAGCTTGCTTCTAAGGACACCGACACAACACCTGCTGTGAAACCATTCACCTCCCATCACCCTTGCACCCAAGCACAAACCAGAGCCATGTTTAAGGCTAGAGGACATTTGCACAGTGGAGTGGCCATAAACCTCCAGTTAACTGTATCCTGAACAAGACAGGAAGGGGGGGGTGGTATGGGATATGAAGAGATAGAAAGAGAAGACCAGAAATTATCTACCTCTAACTCACTGGACTCTAGATGAGTAAGAATTGATCTGGCAGTCTATATTTAGGTGAAAACTGAATTTCGTTCTATTTTCTTTTTCTTTTAATATATTTTAAGATTTTTGCATTTTATGTATATGAGTGTTCTGTCTGTATGTATGACTTTATGCCAGAGGAGGGCATCAGATCTCAGTATAGAGGGGCTGTGAGCTACCATGTGGTTGCTGGGAATTGAACCCAGGACCTCTGGAAAAGCAGTCAGTGCTCTTAACTGCTGAGCCATCTCTCCAGCCCCCAAAGCAGAATTTCTAATAGGGTTTTGTAAACATAAGGTCCTGGGTATCAAACAGTTTGCCCTCTCAAGTCACACACAAGGAGCAGCTGCCTGGGCCCTGCTGCTGGCCTTCCTCCAAAACCTCTTAGGCAGCCTTGCCAGTCACCAGGGCGGTGATAGCCTGTCCCCAGGTGACCAAGGATACAGAGGTGCCTCTGAATGGCTGCAGCAGTGAGTGAAGGGGCTTACTGTGTCCCCTGGGCTGCATAATGAATCCTTACTCCCAAACTCTTTTCTGCAGCACTGCATTGCCCCAAGTCACCTTCAGAGACGACGCTGTCCCCATGCGCTCCTGACCAGCAAGACCCATCTCTTGGGATCCCACAGGGCTACACTGACTCTGCCCCCAGTATCTCCCCTCAGTGACAGGGATGAGTCCAGAGTCACCTACCGACTCGGAGAACAAAGTCGTTGTAGGACTGGTAGTTGATTTCATCCAGGACATCAAACATATCGATGGCAAAGTCTGCCAGTGTGCTCAGGTGGGAAGAGATTGACTTCTTAGCCTAGGGGTGAAAAGAGAACAGTAGTGTGCGGAGGGCCAAGAGAGGAGGGGTCAGGGACCGCCTGGACAGGTCCTGCGACTGGGATTTAATTCCTACAAAACATAGCACTCCTGGAAATAGCAGGCGCTCTTGTTATCTGGCTGGGGACACACTGATCCTCTTATCCTATGGGTAGAAAACTCAGTATATTGCTCAAACTATGGCTTCTGATGGACACAGGCAGAAACCACCCAAAGCCATACTAGTCCCAGCTATGCTCCTCTGGAGGTATGGGAAACAGCTCCTGGGACCAGGACATCAGGGGTCCAGATGCCTACTTGGGCAGTGCTATCAATAGGCATTACAGATAAACCAAAGACCAGAGGCATACATCGGTCAGGAAGGGGCCCGGTTCCCTTCCTAGAGACCGAAGCTGCATCTGTCATCTGTGTGGATGTGACTGGTGAACAAAGTCCCTTCATTTGTAAGACAGTGATGGCCAGGAAGGTTTTTAATTTGTGTTTTTCCAGGAGACATATTGTCCTCAACATCAGGGAACTAACGTTCTTTTTTTGTTTTGTTTTTTTATTTTGATTTTTTTTTTTAATACAGGGTTTCTCTGTAGCTTTGGTGCCTGTCATCTTGGAACTCGCTCTTGTAGACCAGGCTGGCCTCAGACTCACAGAGATCCACCTGCCTCTGCCTCCTGAGGGCTGGGATTAAAGGCAAGCGCCACCACCGCCCGGCGGAACTAACGTTCTTAAAACAACATTGAACATGCTTTGTTTTTCAAAGAACTTTAGTTTAGATGCAACTGAGCAGATGACGGAGTCTCCCTGTAGTAATCGCCTCTGCACACAGCTGGCTGTTGCTAAATTCTTACACGCCAGCAGCGTATCTGTTACAGTCAGCGAGCCACTACAGGCATATTACCACCATCTTACAGCTACAGTTAATGTTAGAGCCCACCCTTGATACTGTATGTTCTGCAGGTTTGAGGAAAGTACAATGTCCTGCAGCCACCAGTATCACGCAATAGCTGCCCTAAACATCCCCTGTGCTCTGCTGAGCCAGTCCTCCTTCCACCCCACACCCAGCAGCCACTAATTCTGTCTCTGTAGTTCTGTCTCTTCCGGGCAGGACCACAAGTACCTTAAGGTCACGCTGTGTCTCTTTGCCACCTGCACACTTCTATTTTATGGCAGTAGTATTTAATTTTATGGACATGTCAGAAATTCTTTATCTATTCGCCTAATGAAGGGAATTTTGTTTGCTTCCGGTTTTTTAGTGGTTATGGGTAGATCTTCTATGACTAATTATGTATCGGTGTCATGTGGATGTAGGTTTGCATCTCATTTTGGTATGTACCAAGGACTGCAATTGTCGGGGTGTATGGGCAGTGGTGACGGTCTAATTGGCTTAGGAAGAAGCTGCCAAACTGTCTCCACAGTGGCTAGAACATTATGCATTCCCACCAGTAAGGAGCAAGCGTTCCTTCCCATCTCTTGGTGGTATCAATGTTCTGGATTTTGGCTGTTCCAATAGTCAGTGCAGCTCTAGGCCAATGCTTTAATCTCCTTCCTAAGAACTCAGGCTATGGGCATCTTCTCACGTGCTTCCTGTCTCTAACTCAGGCTATGGGCATCTTCTCATGTGCTTCCAGTCTCTAACTCAGGCTATGGGCACCTTCTCATGTGCTTCCTGTCTCTAACTCAGGCTATGGACATCTTCTCATGTGCTTCCTGTCTCTAACTCAGGCTATGGGCACCTTCTTACGTGCTTCCTGTCTCTAACTCAGGCTATGGGCACCTTCTCACGTGCTTCCTGTCTCTAACTCAGGCTATGGGCATCTTCTCACGTGCTTCCTGTCTCTAACTCAGGCTATGGGCATCTTTCTCACATGCTTCCTGCCTCTGTGGGGCTTCACTGATGAGACACCTATCCAGACTGCCCACTTTTTAACTAGGTTGCCATTTTTCTTATTTCTTAATCTTAGGATATTATTTTAAAATTTTAAATATAAGTACTTTATCAGATAGGTGGTTTGCAAATCTTCTCCCAGCCTGCAGAGTGACTGTTCATTCCTGCTTACAGATGAGGGGCTTTTCTAATCTTTTCTTTCAGGGGTCATGCTGCGGGAGCTAATCTAAACTCAAACTCAAAATAGTCTAGATTTTCTCCCATGCTACTGTCCAGAAATTTTATAATTTTTTAAAGAAAATCTTTACATTTGGGTTAATCACTTGACTCAAGTTAGTCTTATGAAAAGTAGAACATCTTTATCTTAGTTGTATTTTTGAATGTGGATAGGCAATTATTATAGTAAAATAGAGATCAACTGAGTGCAGCTACAGGAGTCTCTTTCTGGGCACTCTGCCCTGTTCCACTGACCAATCTGAAATATCCCCAGGACACTACATTGCCATGGTTGCTGTAGCTTTCTAGTTCCTTCTCCAGCGCTGTTTTGGCTCTTCTGGATCCTCTGCTTGTCGCTATATATTTAAATTCAGTTTGTCACGTTATGAGCTATCCTGCTACAATTTTGATTGAGACCGGATTAATTTCATTAACCAAATTTATAAGCACGGATATCTTGACAGTCATCATCCTTCCCGTGCAGGGACACAGAATAGTTTTCCTTATAAAGATCTTGTATATGCCACGTTATATTTATACCCAGCATTATATTTTAGCACTGATATTAACAGTGTCATGTTTGGAATTTCAAATACCAAGTGTCATTTGCTACCACACAGGACTGACTCTTACATATAAACCCTGTAGCCTGCAGCCTTCCCAGGCTTATTTATTAGTTCATTAGTGACAAGAGTGTAAAGAGTGTACTGTCCATTCCCCAACCCACCCATCATTGGTTCTTTCATTTGGGGGGTGTGTGTGTGTGTGTGTGTGTGTGTGTGTGTAATAATGTGATCTGCACACAAAGACAGTGTTCTTTCTTCCTTCAAAGTCCATATGTACTTTATCTTCTTTTCTTATCTTACGGCCTTAGCTAGATTTTCCAGAACACTGCTAACAATTAATGGTGGGAGAGTGGAATATGGTGATGTACACAATCCCAGAAGTCAGGAGCTGGAGGAAAGAGGATTGGGATTCTTTGCCAACTCGGGCTACACAGAGGTTCAAGTTCCAACCAGAATAGTTAGCAAAATCTTTACTTTAATAATTAATGATAATACTAACATCGGTGCTGGTGAGAAGGGACGTCCTTGCAATGCTCCTGAGCTTGGGTTGGGGAGTTTTTCTAAACTGGATATAATATTAAACGGCAGGGCTTTTATGTATGGTCTTTGTCCAGTTAGAAATTTCCTTTTTTTCTGAGTTTAACAATTTTTATTCAGAAACAGGTGTTGAAGCAAACAGACTTTGTTGCATCAATTTTTTAGGCTCCTATGTGATAGGGCAAATTTCAGAAATTCACTTTGGCATGTTAAACCAGTCTTATATACCTGGAATAAATCCACGGCCCTCGTGTAGAATTCGTTTCACTTATTATTTGATTCCATTTGCTAATGTTTGATGAGGAATTTATGCATTTACATTTTTGAGAAATAAACACTGATCTGTGGGGTCTTCCTTTCTTGTGGTGTCGTTGTCTAGCTTTGGTATGAGGGGGTCGAGTCACCTGGGGGGGGTGTCAGGAAGCCTTCCCTAAGAGGCTACAGGTGACTAGCTTCCTTCATGCCTTAACTGAGGGGTGAAATGGCCCGCTAACTCCTGCTCCAGGGGACTGTTAATTATGAATCAGTCTCCTCGGTAGCCGAAGAACCATTTCATTTTCACAATGGGGGTTACAGTTTTCAGCCTTCCACGGGTGGGAACAAAGGGAGGTAGTGAGGAGGAGGGCTCAAGGCTGAAGGCTTTCCTAAGGTTGGGTATCTAGAGGGAACCAGGCAATGGCAAGATAGCCTAGGATCTTCTCCCCTAACCTAGCACAGAGAAACCAAGCCCAGTATGGGGACCTGTCCAGGGTGCCAGAAACATCGACAGCGAACTAGGCCCAGGCCCGAGCAAGTGGCAAGGGAATTACTTACTCTGGTTCCTGCTGTGGGCGCCAGCCCCACGGCGGCCATATAGGTGCTCCCAATGGTCTTGATCTTCTCCAGGTCCTTGTAAAAGTCCTTGTCCATGAGCTTTGTTTAAAACAGAAAACAGTTAAACATTGCGGAACACTGGAGAGGTGACATACAGCCATCATCCACTAGGGGGCAACAGAGGAGGTGGCCTTCAGATAGGGCACAGCAGCTCCTCTGGTGTATGAAAGGGACAGCATAGGATACATACATCCATGTCCCTGCCTCCAAACTCACAGTCACTAGGGAGAAAAGGATCTCCAGTGGAGCAAGCACAGTGTCCAGTTGGGGAAGGGACTAGAGGTTCCCACCTGCACACCCGGAGTGGAAGCTGCCCTGCCCTGGGTCCCTATCTTAGAGTCAACAGGCTCTGTCTTAACCGTCACAGCTACCCTGGACCCTAACGGATTCACAGCGGACACAAGAAGGATCTGTGTCCACGAAGAATCATCCTTGAGACCCTGCAAGGAGATGACGTTGTTGCAAGGTCTCACCTCATCAAAGTCGGCAATGATCTCGTTGAGGAGCCGCAGGCACTCGACCCCCATATTGTTGCCGTCCAGCTCGATGTAGAAGTCATTGAAGTTGGGGATGGAGGCGAACATGACGCCCACCTGGGAGTAGGACTGGTAATAGAGGTCCTGCAGAGACAGAAGGGGGTCATCCCTGCAATGCTATGCCACGTGTGGTCAGCCAGCGGGAATAGCACTTGAAAGGGGGACAAGCCAGGCCATGAGGAGAAACACTGGGGGCTCCAGGTCGTGCACTGTACCGCACGGGCAAATCTCGAGTGGCCGGCTTTGGACTTGAGCCCAGTGAGGCGAGAGCAGAGCAGGTAAGGGGGACCATGGCTCGAAAGCTCAGCTGACTGCACAGAAACACCGACTGCTGCCTCAGGCAGGGCAGATTCAGGCTGAACCTCCAGGCTGCTCCTATCCCTTAGAACCTTTTAAGATTTATTTATTTTTTTTATGTATACAGCATTCTGTCTGTCTGTCTGCTTGCTGGCCAGAAGGGGCACCAGATCTCATTACAGATGGCTGTGAGCCACCATGTGGTTGCTGGGAATTGAACTCAGGACCTCTGGAAGAACATTCAGTGCTCTTAACCTCTGAGCCATCTCTCCAGCCCCTCCTTAGAACCTTTTAAAAGCCAGCCCAGATTTCTTTCCTTTTGAACTTGGCTTTGGTCAGCGTCTCCTTTGTGCTGTGCCGGTGGCTGCGGTCACTACAGCCAGCAAGGCTGTGAAGAGCTCTGACCAAACGGTCCACGCAGAGGAGGGTAAGAAACCCTCCCCCAGCAGGCCCCGCGAGGCCCTCCCACTTACCATGTTCCGGGGATTGGACATGAGGAAGTGCTGCGCCACGTGGGCCGGCAGGAGGTTGAAGAGGATCCTCTTGTTGTCCAGCTTCACCCTCTCCATGTCATCACGCTCCTCCTCGGCCTGGAGGTCACGGGTCATGAATGCCAGCCACGCAGGCTGCCCTCACCCTCCCACCATGACACCTCGACACCGGAAAGACTGGGGAGGATAAGACGATGCGATGAAGGATTTACTAATAAGCTCGCGTGGGGAATAGTAAGTTACACAGAGTGGACTTCAGCTGAAGGAGCGTTGCCGCTGGTTTCCCGGAAGATAAACAGCACACTGAACAGGCTTGTTGGGGGCCGGAGGAGACACGTGTACGTCTAATGTAACTGAACATCACGCTTGCTGGGAGTATGTGCCTGCTAAGATCTGTTCACCAGGATGGCCGCCAATTAGACCCTATGTCCATACCAGAGAACCAAGTATGCTCACCAAGAAGAGCATAATTCTGCCAGACAGGATGACCCAGGTAACAACTACTGGGAAAGAAGAATGTTGATCTACATTAGAAGTAACCGTGACAACATCATTGTGTACAATGTCCAACGTGTCCCAACTGTCCAGACGTGAAGCTTTCTCTCTGTTTAGTTGATCAAAGTGCATATGAGGAGTGTTGAACCCTACAGTCTACATAAACTTTATGGTAAAAGTTTCTGTTCGTGGCTGGTTTCTCTTTGTGCATTAGCCAGAACAGGATGCACGCTATTAAAGGGCTTTTCCCTTGTTCCGAGTGGCTAGAAGGGTAGATTGGTGCTCCAACCTCACTAAGTACCCATGCAGGAATCTAGTTGCACAGGTGCTCCACATGACTGCTCTTTCTCTTTCATACCAGACACAGGACCAGAGACTTACTGCAGGGTTGAAGGATTCTGCACCTCACACATTGCCAGCTTTCAGAGGTGGATAATGACGCTCCCATTTTCAGGGTCTGTTCCCCAGATCCCATTGTCCCATTGTCTCTTGAGCAACTCTTGGGAGCCTATGTGCCCACTCTAGACCGCACTAGCCCCAGGCAGGTCTCTCTAGTCTGCCTTGACCAGAAAACTCAGCACCAAGTGGCTGGCACCTCTCCAGGACACCGTATTACCCTCGCCCAGAACTTCTGTTGCCTCCACGAGAGCTCACATCCTGCTAGCACTATGACAAAAACGCTATGAGATCTGGTCTGCCGAGGATCCAGCTCATCCCAGTGAGTGCACAGTCTCTGAACCAGAAGCAGGGGGTTAGGCACTAAGGACTGCCAGCCAGTCGTAGCCTGCTTACCATGAGCTATGGCTCCATCGTGCTAAGAAACAATATCAGGGATGGTTCCATGCACGGGTCACCATGAGGCTCAAGGAATACTACCAGTGGGGGCCAATCTATGGTATGCCACAGTTCTCAGAGAAAGAAATTGTATATCTCTGCTATAAAACTTGACCCTCTTCAGGATTTAGCTTGAGAAACAGTCTAAATATGTGTGTTACGCCATTCATGAACATCGAACTCCTGGTACAGAAGAAATGCCACCACAGTGCCTTTGACACTCGGGGCCTGCCATGGAAGCCATCCATGGGCCAATCCCATGTGGTAGTCAGTGACAAACAGGGCAGGACAGGCACATCTCCATGCAACAGCACCTTTTCACTTACCTTTAGAAACACGGTTCCCAGAGCCACATTTGCCAAAGGCATTGGGGAGGGCTACTCTACTCTTCCTAGGGATGATTTTACAAGCTACATGCTGCTAGGTCTCCTGTTGAGATCTAGATTACCAGTCAAGCCAAGAAGTAATGATTTCAAGGAGTAAGGAGAGGAAGGTTTGAGTCAAGGAGTTGCGATGGGGACACAGGGTGAAAGTCCAAGCCTAGTGCAGGGGGGCCTAAGTCATATGTATTGGTTTTGTGTTTTGTTTTTAAACAAGATCAATGAGTTAGCATAACCCAATAGAAAGGGGCAGACTGCAGTGCATGGAAACACAAGAAAGACAGCCCTGGGCCCCAGACTCCAGGTCAAACCAGAGGTGACACTGGCCACCGCCACCCAGACAGGCTGGAGCCCACTCTGCAAACAGAGGGACATAGTAACTGGCGATTCCGAAGGGGGCTCAGAGTCCATGACCTCTGCTGGAAAGAAAAACAACCTGAGGGGATTGGGCATGCTTTTGTCCTGACCCACTGTTGGGGAGGCTCTATGGCGGCGAGTGTCCCATGAGTGACTCTGACTTATTCTGGGTCTCTCTCAAAGGTCAGTGGCCTCTGACTTCCAGCCTCCGTCTTTTCATCCCCCGTTCCTGTCAACAGAACATTGCAAACACCCTCTTCTCCATAGGAAATATATTACTAATTATATTTAACTTGCTGCATACGAGTGGACCCCAAACAAAAGCCTTTAAAGGGTAGAATGAAGATGGAAAAATATATTTTAAAAATAATAGCTTGGTTGTATTAATGGCACAATATTTATCTCCTCTAAAATAGTTACTGTTACTACCAGTAATATTTTCATTTAAAAAACAACATAATTGAACATTCTTTGCTGAACAATAATGTGCTGTCATAATCCCTGACTTCTGGAGCGTATGTCTTAAGGGAGAGGGGACAGTAAAAGACAGATAAAAACAAAACAGAGAGGAGTTGGAAAGAGTCAAGCATGCAGGTGGGTTAAGAGACGGGGAAATGAAATGTTGACAGAGGTGTAGCCAAAAGACATGGTGAGTGGAAGAGCCACACAGAAACCTACAATCCTGCAACCCAAGGGCAAAGTTCAATTAGACGTGACAGCAGAGGATGACAGGAGATGGGGAAACAGTAAAGAGTGAAAGGTAAGTGTGGGTAGGAAATGGGAAAGAAGACATGTATTAACTGTCTTGTTTGTGAGACGGAGCTCTCTATATGATCCTGACTGACCTGGAGCTCACAATGGAGACCAGGATGGCCTTGAACTCAGAGAGATCCTCCTGCCACTGCCTCCCAAGTGCTGGAATTAAAGGTGTGCGCCTCTACACCCAGCCCCACACAAAAGTGCTATATATGTTCTTAAAAAGGAAGTCTAAATTTCCTTTTATGGTTACGATTAATATACTTTATGCATGTATATGAAACTTCCAAAGACTAAAAACGGGATAAAAAAAACCACTAAAATGAAAGCTATCCCTGGCTCAGCACACTGGATCGAAAGGTTTTATTCTGGGTTCTGCTTATAGCAGCATTTGGGTTTAGGGACCGCGAGGGTCTTCGTTCTTCCTATGTACGTAGGTGTCTCACTCCGTGCACAGGTCAAAAGGTCCCTGTTGTTGAAATCTGACTGACAAATGTCCATCCTACCCGGAGCAGTTATTTTTAGAAATCAAGCCGAATTGTTATATTTTTTAACGAGATGAAAATCCACTAAAATTTTCTTAAGATTTTCTAAACAGTCAGAAGGCTCGGATTTTTTTAAGGAACAGCTTACTGGATGACACACATTATTCGTGTCAGCAAGGTCGCATGAGAAACACGCTGAACTGTTTCCAAAATGTGCCCTCAGCACTTCTTCAAAGGCGGTCCCTTTCTCATGGGTGCCACATTTTAGAACTGATTGGCCTGGCACATCTACCAACCATGATGAAGCACTTTCAAGGTCAGAGCTGGTGTGCTTGTAATTTTAGATAAAGTACAAAGCGAAACAACTAACGTCCTGACCTGGCAGCTCCCTGGGATGCTGACGTGTGTACGGGTGACTCTCACCCATGGCCCTGACAGAACATTCTCAGCCAGAGAACACCAGCAACCCCCAGTGTAGTGCCAGAAATAAACAGTGTGTACCTTACAACCAAGAGCCTGCACGACTGCCCCACCCTCCACTGTGATTCCTGCCAGGGTCACGGACACCCATCCGGAGCATGGCCACCACTTCATTCTTTTTTGTTTGTTTATTTGTTTGTTTGGAGACAGGGTTTCTCTGTAGCTTTGGAGCCTGTCCTGGAAACTAGCTCTTATAGACCAGGTTGGCCTCGAACTCACAGAGATCTGCCTGCCTCTGTCCTCCGAGTGCTGGATCAAAGGCGTGCACCACCACCACCCAGCTCACCACTTCATTCTTTCATATCAGGACAGCACATTGCTTGATTTTCATATCGTCACTGCAAAGGCGCTTCCGGGTGTCCTCTTCCTAGTGTGTTTCTCTGGAGACACCCCTAGCTCTAGGAGCCACCTCTTCTGGAGCAAGCCCAGAGAGGGATATGAACTATCCATGTACAGGGTGCAGGCTAGTTTTATATAAACCTGATACAAAATAGAGGCATCTGAAAGGAGGGAACCTCAATTAGAAAACGCCTCCATAAGATTCAACTATAGGGCATTTTCTTAATTGGTGATTGCTGGGGAGGGCCCAGTCTTTGGTGGGTGGTACCACCCCTGGACATCATATAAAAAAAAATCATAAGAACAACCATAACCTTCCTTTGTTTGCTAACTGCCACATAAACTAGGGCACACTGTAAAACACACACCTTCTGTACACATAAAGACCATGGTATAATGATGATAAGACAGGGCCCCCAACACTCCATCGTGTCACTACCTCTTAGATCAGGGTGGCTAGGGCCAAGCAGACTGGGCTGGAATAGCTGATCCTATAAATCTGCCTTGTATGTAATAGTAGGGGTGCCTGGGAACAATGTGAGCCCTCCTGCCCACAACAGACTCCAAGATTCTCCATCCTCTCTGAATGTTCTGAGGTAGGTGTTCTTATTATTCTCCACCGACTTCCAGTCGCCAGTGGCAGATGGACGGGCCTCCCTTAAAGACAAGGGAGATCATGGTGCACTCTCGGCTGGTGCATCCAGTCTGTTGTCTAGAGGACTGTGATGGTGTGACCCATGGCTAACCTGCATAAACATGTATGTAGCAGGAAGAAGAATGAAGCTCGGCTGGTCAATGCTACTGACATGCTGGGCATGGTAGCTACTGCAGTACAATCTGTCCTGGCTAGCCAAATACTGGGTTCAAAGAACTTGACCACTGATGACCATGATCACATCCTTTCTAGCTATTCTATATAAACTGGTGGGTTTCTGTTTTGTTTTACTTTTTTCTGAGAATAGGGTTCTGAAATGTAGAATCAGATCGCTTTCGGGTGTAAACTGGTGGATTCCTGTTTCCTTTTTTTCCTTCTGAGAACAGGGTTCTGAAATGTGGGATCAGATCATGTTCTGGTGAACTCTCATTTCTGTTCTGAAGCTGTTTCCATGAAAAGTCTTACAAAACATCATTGAGCAGCCACAGGAAATACGTGCTATTTAGGAACACACAGAACATGGGCAGTGTAGCAAACCTCAAGGAAGTTAACAGGCTTCAAGTCATGAAAGCCCTCTGACTACAGAAAAAATAATTTTGAAGTTATTAACTACAACACCTTTGCAGAATCTTCCAGATCAAAGTACACACTCCTCCTCTTTGGGTGGAGAAATGAAGAGGAAAATCCGAGAATACTCTGGAGCAAACAAAGATGAAGTCACCCCACACGCCAGCGCTCCCAGAACCATTATAACCATGCTCGGGGTCTACAACACCGAGCAAGCAGAGCGCTTACTTCAGAAAGACCAAGCCCCTCTCAAGTCACCGCTAAATGGCGCTAAAGACAACAATAAATTCAGTTGTGACCAATCACAAGAAATTAAATAATACAATCAGGCTCCACAAATATGAAAGGAACAGCAAGGGCTGCTGTGGCCAATTTTAAGTCAACAAACTGCAGATGTCAGGGAAGGACTGAATTCCCAAAGCCACTGCAGCAAGCAATGGGAATGGGAGACCTAAAAAGCCTCGTGGTTTGGGGGAACTTGAATTTTACTTTAACATCTCCTCATTTGCCAGCAGATAAACCATCCAGTTCAGAGGCTTCATTTCATTCCACCTAACATTTATGGAAGAAACCAAAATCTCCCAGTAAACTAAGACAAATGGAAGACTTCCCCACTCATGTGGTTTGTTCCCAGGGTTTGTGTGTTTATGTGTGTATTATGGGGGCACACAACTCAGTCCTCAGTGTGGTGGTGTTGAGAGGTGGTAGGACTGAGGGATGGGCCTGGTGGGATGGTTCAGCAGGAAGGTGCTTGCTGTAGATGGCTGGCAGAAGAGCCAGCAAAAAGATGGAAGGAGAGAATCAACTCCCTGAAGCTGTGCCCTGGCCTCCATATATGTGCTGTGGCACGCTCACTGTCCCCAAACACACACATCATTTACAGCTTAGTAATACGAGTGAGAAAGTTTGGAGAGGTGGAGCCTAGTGTGAGATAACTGGAAATTGTCTGGCTCCATGTGCCCACTCACAGCCCTGAAGAAAGTGTGTGCCAATCAGAGGAAAAGGAAGATACATTCTACAGCATTTCAGAATCCCAAGAAAAGAACCCTACGTTTTATACATGTAAAGTCCCTGCTACTGCCATATATGTGCAGAAAAGAAAGCACGGTCAAGAACCTGTGGGGTGAAAGAAGAAAGGCAACAGGGTCTGATCTAGTTCTACTGATGGGAATGCAGTCCACAGGCAACTGTCCTAAGAGTTGGTGATAGCTTCAACAGGATGGGGATTCTCCCAGGATTAACGATTTACTGGTAAGGAAGCTAAAAGCATCCATACAAATGAACATAAACATTAGAATTATGTTTGCCATAAGGATTATGTCTACTAATTCAACAAAAATAATATTGGTTGCTGGGCATGATGAAGCACAACTTTAATCCCACCACTCAGGAGGCAGAGGCAGGCGGGTCTCTGAGTTCGAGACCAGTCTGGTCTACAGAGCGAGTTTCAGGATAGTCAGGACTACACAGAGAAACCCTGTCTCAAAAAACCAAAGAAGAAAATAATGTTGAAATGGAATTACGCCAATAGTTAAAGATAAAGAGCCAAAATATTTCCCCAAGGGCAAAGAGAAGCCTGTTTATTTATGTAGGGTTGTATGGCCAACGTGGTATCCAAAAATAATTAACCCAGCTAGTGTTTGTCCGGACAATGAGGCAAGAGTTTGAGGTCCTACAACCTGACTAAATATCCAGAGGGCAAACAGACAAAGTCCCGAAAGTTCCATGTTTTGCTGGGGTTACGGGAAAGCAAAGGGATGTTTCTTGTTACCTGTCTATGGAAAAAAAATGTGTTGGTATGTTCCATTTAGCAACCCTGCCATCATGACACGCATGCATGAGGAACACATTCAAGGAAATGCATCTGTGCCCCCACACTTCCTGAAAACCTATATATATTGGGTGGGGGTAGAAGGTGCAGCTAGATGGAGAACCACATGATTTAATAACATTTAAATACTACATTTAATAACAAATACGGTGATTTAATAATAAAAGCCAAGGAAAGGCCATGTCAATCCACACAAGAAACAAAAATGTCTACCTAAGGGGTGATGTGATCACCCTCTGAGAGGGAATTCACAGCCAGGCCCATTTCCACTTGCTTAGACTGCAGAACAACCGGATGCCCTCCCTAGTAAACAGCCTTAAAGACCCCCCACCTCGTGGTGCCAAGTGTACTGGCCTTCCAGTCTCATTCTGCGTGCATTTTTCTCTAGTAAATATTCACTATGCGATCTGAAGCCCAGGCTGATGGCAGGCAGGGTCAGTGGACCAGAGCAGGCCAGAGCGGGCAGCCAGCTGGGTTACCCCGGACAGACAGTTGGGTTCAGCAGAGACCACGATCGATGCCACAGCTGCCATAGAGGCTCTTCCCATTACCTGGCGTGACTCGGGCAAAATGCAACTGGCCAGGGTTCCTTGCCAAGAGCTTGCGAATGCCATCATCAGGGGCACCCCCCGCCTGGTCGCTATGAACCAATAGGATCCTTAGTTCCTGCTTCCGCATGAGGCGAGTCAATGGTAAGTGCTGCAAGAACTGGCCACCCAACAGGATTCATGACCCGCAGCCCAGGGACAGAGCCATCTGCACAACCAAGGTGGGAGAACACGGCAGGCTTCATCATGCCAGACCTGGGGACAGGGTGCCAAGAAGGGGAATGGCACTCCATTTTATGGGCATTCACCCCGCTTTACTGCTGGTAGGAGGAGAATCTGGCCAGTACTGGCACTACAAGAAGCTGTTGGAATCTGCAACCGGGACCTCTTGATGCCACGCCCAGCCCTTGCTATTCTTGCTGCTACTACCCCTTCTCCACCGCACAGGCTGCTGCTCAACGCAGCCCCAGGAAAAGGCTCAAATCAACAGGATTTCCCATTCCACCAAGTGTGTCAGAGCTGATCTCACAACCTGTCTTTCCTCAAGACTCCTGTGTCCACAGGGGCCCTCCGTACCATCGTCACTGGCTCCTCCCAGCTGTCCTCGACTACCTTTCATCTGAGCCCCAGTTCCGAGCTGGGACCCTACAGTCCCGGCTGCACAGTCGAGGCCCTGGGCTGAAGACAGTCCTGCTTGGCCTCACGCACTGCCCACAAGGGCTCGGAGCCTGACCAGATTATCATACAAACCACAACATGTATGATAGCCTGGCTCCGCTGCTTACTCCAGCCTGCTCACTGTCTGACACCCGCAGGTCCCTCTGTGGACCCTGTTTGCTCACGTGAGATTTTATTGCCTGGGCAGAGCTGCTCTTATACCTAAGGAAACTCAACCACTCTAACGGCAAGGGCTGTCCCGTGTGCATCCGAATCAGAAGAGGAGCTGTTGCCGAGGCTCAGGTTCACTAGCCTTCACCCCTCCTTTCCAGGTAAGGAAGGCTCAGAAGGCAGTTTGCTGCTGGGGAGACCACTGTAAGTTCTGCAGATGGGAGCCAAGCCTGGGCAAGCTGCTCAACTACCCAATTCTCGAATGCCTGGAGAATGCACAGCCAGTGGGGAGGGGGAGATGTGCACGCACCCCAGCACCAGGGAGCCCCACTCTGCCCTGCCGTGGACACTGGTAAACCTCACCATGCCGCAGAGTGATTTTGTGAACATGGGTTCTAATAAGCACCCTCAGCTAACACATTTCTCACACTTGGACGGAAAGCTCAGAACAGGCAATGTGGCAGGCTGCCTGGTGCCCAGATAGTCAGGGCCCTGGACCAGCTCACATGGCTACTCGCTGATGCCTCCCCAAAAGAGGCCCTCCCGCCTCTCCCGTCAGAAACACCCTGAGAATTACTAAGTCCAGGGTGAGCAGAACAAGGTTTGGCATGTTTAGTTTTCAAAGGGACCCTGACGGGGTCCTGGCCATATCTAGGCCCTAAGACGACAGAGTCACTCTAACTTCTGCCCCCAGCCCGTGCACCCTGCAGCCACCTCTACAGCCATCCCAAAGGTGCCAATCCTAGAACTCAAGCCTCGAGGACAGACCTTCCGAGTAAGTCCCTGAACAGCTCGCCTGCGCTACCGAGCGAGATCTCTGGCGGGCCACATGGCCAGCGGTTGTCTCTTCTACTTTCCGCATGGCCATCTCATGCCCCAGGAGACAGAGGGCTCAACTCACCTGTGCTGCCCAGAGGTAGTCCAGCCGCAGCCTGACATCCACTTGCCTGGCATGCAGGGCCAGTGTGCACGAGAATAGCAAGATAGCCATGATTGGCTCATAGCTACGCCCGGAGAGAGCACCACCCCTGGGAAGGTGGAGAAGAAACCCCATTAGTGTCAGTTTCCAGGCAATATACGGCCATCAAAGCCTAGGTCTGGGCAGAGAACCATCTATGGAGAGCAAGGCTTAAGGCTCGTGGGCCTGACCCCAGGCCTGATTCTCACCTCAGCCAAAAGTTAGAGGCTTTGCTAGAGTCTAGACTAAAGAAGAGAAATAGAAAAGCCACTAACCTAAAAAAAAAAAAGTGCATATATTTGGTTCACATTGGTTTGCTAATTGGTGCACATGCACAAGCCTGTGTGTGTGTGTGTGTGTGTGTGTGTGTGTGTAATAGAGAGGGAGAGAGTACTATGACTACAGAGTTAGTAATTGAGGCGATGATTAAGAATAATAGTGATTCATGCAAATCATGATCCGAGTAGAATGATAACTAATATCACCCTGTCTAGAACGTTCCCTCGGGGCGCCACACTCACCCAACCTTGGTGTATCCACTGAGCTCCAGGACAAGGATGTAGGATGTTGTCAGCCCGGACAGCAGGATCATCTTTGGCAAGGAGGACACCCGCAGGAATATGGCTAGTGGGAGGGTGCCCACCAGGCAGCAGAGCAGGGCATGGTGCGCAGACTCACAGGGCAGGGCAGGCAGCACAGTGCGCCGGCCGCCAGCTGCAAGGACCACTAGGGAGCTGTTGGACTGGGAGCTCCAGGCCCAGGGCAGGCAGCCCACCTGGGGAGCAAGGGTGCGAAGGCTTAGGAAGGCCCAGAGTCTGGCCTCACCGATCCCCCACCCAGCGCCTTCTGCGGTAGCCTCTCCCCCACCTCTGATACCACCAGCCAGGCCTCAAACTGCCTCCGCTGCTGCAGCCTCCCAGTATCTATAGAAAAGGCTGGGGGCGAGCAAGGTGGACCAGGTAGTACCAGCCCCTGCCGGGTCTCCAAGCCAAACAACTCTACCCTGTGCTGCAGCTCCCTCTACTCCTACCGCCCCCGGTATGACTCCTAGGTCCCGGCTCAGCTTCTCCAACCTGTTGCTCCTGCCCCTGAGCACGCCAAAGTTAGTGATACTCACCACGCATCCTAGGGCTACTGAGTAGATTAAGACCACTATGAATACACACAAAACAGTGCGAATCTGGATCGTCAGGCACCCTGGAAAACACTGAAGAAGAAAACCTCGTTTCAGGGTTAGGGATGCAGCAGCTCAGCAGTAGAGTGTTGCCTCCCATGTGCAAGGCTCTGGGGGGTAACCCCAGTAATACACACAGGGGTGGGGGGAGAAGGAAAGGGGGGAGAGCTTTAGAAGCATGCTGAGAGTGTGAAAGTACTTGGTGTTCACAGTGAGTCCTCCGAAGGAGGCCGGGTGTGGAGCCCTTTGCCTGCTCCAGGGGCTTACTAGACCTCCATCTGCTAGGCAACAGTCTTGATTACTTTTATCTATTTATTATTCCCCATGTGAAGAACTTGCCAAAAAAATTTAAAAACAAAGACACACACAGACACATATACCCAAAGCACCTAAAGGAGAAACAGCCGTCTCCTTCTCCCAGGCACTCTGACTGGCACCAAAGTTAACTGAGCAGAAGCACTGGGTATTTTTATTATAATGCATTCTCCTACCTCAGGAGTTCCATACACCCCTCCCTCCCTCCCTCCCTCTTCTCTCTCTCTCTCTCTCTCTCTCTCTCTCTCTCTCTCTGTCTCTCTCTGTCTCTCTCTCTCTCTCTCTCTCTCATGTTCTCGAAGTTGATCATCACAGACAGGTTTAATATAACTTTTCAGCTACTAGAATTTTTATTTTTAGCCTATTTATTTACTTTGAACACGGTGTGAAATAATTAACAGATGCTTTCAAAGATGAAGCAGGAGGTTCGTTATTCTCATGGTCCTAAAAACAAGAGTATAGATTACAATGGACACCCACTGCCCCTTATGGAAAGTCACATATGCAGACAGAGCCTAGGTCTGCAGGACTCCACGGCAACACACACAGCTGCTTCTGTCCTCCTTCCCACGAGGCTCGCAGTGTGACTTTTCTTGTTTAAAAACTGGGAGGCAACAACCACCAATAAAACAAGCCCAGGACCATAGATTCTGGGTTGGTGTGGGAGCATATGTAGCTGGCAGATCTTTGGTTTGGGTTTCCAAGTCCAGACCCTACAGTGCTTCCTAAGAACCCTGGTCGGTCTAGCTGACCTCAGACAGAAGAGGCACCGTTTGGTATGAAGCCTAAGGGCTCTTCTGATCATGCCTCTCTTTCCATTTCCCTTCTGATGTGATCTCTGCCACTGGGGAAGGCACAGCTGCAAGTCCCTAATCATCAGAGAATGTCCCCCAGCTCCTGTCACAGCTTAGCTTGGTATGGTTGGGAATCCATGCAGAGGGACGGACAGATCCCAGTCTGCAGTCCACACAGGCCCAGGAACAGAAACTTGGAACCAGGTCCTGCCATGCCCTCCAGGTAATGACTCCTAAGAAGAGCTCTTTGCCTGCTGCTATGAAGGCAGGCCAGCAGAGGAGAAATTTTAGTATCCCGCATGTATACGCAAACTGTGTCCCCCAGTACGCTTCCCGGGAAAATCGTCTATTTACCATTGTACGCCTATGCATAACTGGGCATGCATATGATTAAGATCAGATGTATTGTGGGAAGGGATATTCTCAGCAGAAAAAGTCGATACATGAGCTAATCTATCAATCAAAACAGAGAACTGCCCACTTTTCATCCTTAGTAACCAAATCCCTCCTTCTCTCGAACCCCATGTAAGGAAGCATTGAGAACTCATCATGTGGCCCACCGGAGAGTGTATCCCTTTTTAATCTAAACTATGGACTTGCTCCAATAAAATTATCTTGCTTCCTTTGCAAACCTGTGCAAATCCTTACTTTCAATTCTTTGGGTAAGCCTAGAACCTGGAAACATCTGTCCCAGCCCCTGGCAATGGTAACACTGGGACTTGGTAGAAATGGAATGTCTGATTACCACAAGCCCTGAGCTGCCTATCATGAACTGGGTGTTTTCTGGCAGAAGTGGCTGCACACACGACAGCACCTCGTCATCAAATGGACATGGTGTACTCAACAACACTGAACTCAAGACTCAGTAACACAGACTTCCATTCACCAAAGCCAGCCTGGCTCCAGCCTCTGCACAGCCTAGGCGTAACAATGGGCCCCATTCATGAGTCTTACAGGCGCTTCAGAATGCAGTAGGCTCCACAGAACAGTTTAACGACCTTCTGGAAACTTGTTCATAGTGCCAGGGAGGTGACATTATCTTGCAAGCAGGGGTCCAGGTGTTCCAGAACTCTCTAAATACTCAAAACTAGCAACTCATACAAGTAGTGTATCTAGTCATGTTAGTCCAGAGCCAGAAGGAAGACCACACAAGCAGAAATCATACAGAGTAACTTCAGTAATTAATAGGCAAGACTAGGATTCTCCCATAACCCTTAGAAATGCTTGCTAGACTGTCAAAACTTCTATTCAGGTTATGAACTACAGAAAAATAAAAATCTAACTAAATGGGCATTTATTTTGCATACTTGGTATAGACAATGGTTCTTAACAGCCCCTGAGGTTTCTCACCCCAGTTCTTGTACCAAAGACTATGAGTGCCTATGGCTGGAATCACATGACATTACACCCCTGCAGAAGGGATTCTAGGTTTGTAAGAAGTCATTCAGACGAGAGTAACTCATGCATCTAATCTGATCACATGACATTTTTTGCCGCTCCAAAGCTCTTTAGCTGGCGGCAACCCCATTGCCCATTTCTCCCCAGCCCCATGCTTCTGGAGCTACAGCCAAAGAAACAAGCTGGGCCAATGCCACAGAGCTTTGGCATCTATGATAATTAATAAATAACTCACAGATTGGGAAACATTATTTGTAAAACACACAGGTGATGAGGGGATAAATATTCAAAATATATATGGAAGACAGGCAATTCAATAGCAAGCAAATGAAAAATCCATTTTTTAAGCAGCTAAAGGATTTAATATATACTTCGCAAGTCAATATAGAAAAGTCCGATACTGATCCATGGGCAATATTCGTCACAGACCATTGGAGACATACAAACTAAAACCAAAACGAGATGCCCACGGCCCAGCTGAAGTGACCTATCACACCACTGATAATTGTAGGGGACGGATGTACATTAGCACAACCATTATGAAAAATAGAATGGAGGTCTGTCATCAAACTAAGAACAGAATTTCCATGGGATCCAGTAATCCTCCACCAGCTATACATCCAAAAGAAAGAAATCAATATGAAGAAGAGAAGACAGGCCATGTAGCTAGGAGGGTGTTTGCCTAGGGGACACAAACTGCTGAGCTCCACCTTGGGAACTGCGTACGACAAGGTGCGGGGCATGCCCCTGTAATCCCAGCACTCAGGAGGGTAGAAGGGAGAGGTTCAGAATTTCCCTGACTACATAGCGAGTCTGAGATCTCTTTGGAATACGGAAGATCATCTCTCAGAAAAGAAGTGAAGAGGTAGCTGTGCTCCCCTGTCCCATGGTCACTTCAGCACTGCTCACAATAGACAAGATGGAGCCAGCCTAGCCAAAGGTACCCTGCTGACCAACAAACACACAAAGAGCGGAGTATTACTCAACCCCAGAAAAGAAGTAAACCCTTTAGTCTGTACCAAACCTTGATAAACCTGGAAGGAGTTATGTTAAATAAAGTAAATCCGGTGCAGAAATACACCGTATGGGCTCAGGCATGGAATCTAAGACTCAAATTCACAGATGGGGAGTGAAGAACAGTAGATGCCAGGAGATCCGGTAAGGAGCTCATGGGAAAATGCTGCAAAATTTCAGTGAGCTGGGGAGAGCGAGGTTGTGAGACGGACTGCACAGTGTGGGGCTACAGTGAATGGCAACAGCGCATGCTTCAAAACTGCTAGGGGTTGACTTTAAATGATCTTACTACAAAAACAAACAAACAAGCCATTGTGCATGATGCGACAAGTATGTTCACTTGCTTGACTTAATCAGTTTGCAACATAATGTATACCATCATATTGCAACTAATATATACATTTGATAACCATTTTTAATTAAAAATAAAAAATGTAATGGGAAAAAGAAAAGCAGAGCTTTTTTTTTTTTCTGGACGGTGGAAAGAGGGAAAATGGAGGGGAGTGATAGTGAGGTTCCCTGTGCCACTAAGAGTCTGGAGGAGGATGGTGCAGCAGCAACCTGTAAGGAAATGGTGAGTCTCACAATTTCCCAGAACTGAATTCTACAAACCAAAGTGGACCACAGCCTTTTGAGAAGCCACACCTTGATATCTTAGATATCAATAGACATGTATGGACTATACTCTCTAGAGCTGGGAGCTCACAAACATGAGATTTTGTGTGTCTGTTGGCTGCGGTTTTGTCAGGAAGCAACAGGAAACTCGGATGGTTTTGACCTGCTGTTCAACAATCAGGGACTCTTGGCTATCGTCAATGGTGTGTCTGCAAGCACTGGAGTCTGGCTGCCTCTTCACGCTGATTCCCTTTCTTTGGAAAGGACTTCAGCAGGAGGAACAAACAGGAAATTCTTCAAGGAGCAGGCCAGAAGAGATGTCCTTGCTTTCTCTCTCTCCTGGGTCTGCAAGCCTTAAACTCCAGAGGCTGACAGCAGCCCTATCACAGTCCGGTTCCTACAAAGAAACTCCCTGCACTGACGGACATGCATGCCTCCCACGTTCCACCCCTCTGAGTGCACCCAGTCGAGGCTGATAACCCGAGCAGGAGGCGAATGGATCTTTTCAATGATGTGGAGGGCAGAGTCCCCTGTTCTAAATGCATGCTCCTGTCGGGTAGACATAAAGATGGAACAGCTGTCATATTTTGGCCACCTCAAGGAGGCCAGCATTGGACCAATACTAGCACTAAGCGGCAGAGAGACCACGCAAAATGAAATAGTCACCTGGCTTGAAGCAACCCTGAGTTCTCCCTCCAGTTCTTTCTGGCTCATGCTCAGTATTAATTCTCTGAATGTTCTCGATGAAGTAAGTAGGAAGGCAGTCGTCTTTAGGAACGGGGACCAGTGCAACTTTCCCCATGGACCGCGGAGGAAGCATAGCTACACTATCAACGCCATAGTCTCCTTGGAGATACAGCCTGGCAGCTGTCCCTAGTCCCACCTGTGTGGCTGGCCATGCTGGATTCTCTCCTGCTTGGCTTGACTTCCCACCTGCTGCCCTGCCCACTGTTCCACCCCCAAGTCCTTACCCCACCATCTATTCCCACAGCCTCCACCATAGGCTGATAGACCCAAACTGAAGCACAGAGTTCAACACAGCCTGGTGGATACCAGTCACCTTGTGCCACCTTAGTTCATCCACCCTGACCTGGGGCACCCTCCTGGGAGCTGAGTCCCACCTGCCTCTGTTCCAGCCGAGTGCAGGTTCCTCTCTGCTTCCCAGGTGTTGGCCAGCATGAATCCAGACACCAGAGAAGGCCAGCCCCAGAAGCTGTGGGTGCTGCAGCTTCAAAAACACCCGTTTAGGAAATCCTCCATGCTGCTCTTTAGTGAGGCTGGGGGTGAGCAGCGGGGGCTGGCTGACCTGGCTGTTAACATCCAGGAGTTATTCTGGCCTGAGTCCCCGCCCAGGAGGGCAGCTGTGTTTTCACAGGGGGTAGTTTTGGGGAGGCCATCACAATCTGATCTCCCAGAACATACGTTCTACAGAGCCAGGTGGTGTTTGGACTTGAATATTAGTTTTATGGGCAAGATGCTAGGTCAGGAAGAGGAGTGGTGTGACTCTGCCCAGGGGATCTGGGGTCCCCTGATGAGATGCTAGGTCATGAAGAATAGAGAGACTCTGCCCAGAGAAACTGGGGTCCCCCGAAGATATGCTAGGTCATGAAGAAAGGTGTGGCTCTTCCCCGGGGAACTGGTGCTGGGTGGGGCTCCAGGGCCTCTGTGTTCCTCAGCTACGCTGTGAGTGACTATGTCCAACCCCTAACACACACACACACACACACACACCTTTACACTTTTTGCATGTATTGTGCTGTTTGCACACTGCCAGGCAGACACACCAGCTCCCATCAATGCAGACAAAATGACAGCTTTAAACATTACCACCCCAAGGTCCTGCTTTCGTGCTGAAGCCAGAAATTCCAAACTAAACATCACTCAATCTATGGAAGCCAACACGCTGTAAATGTGGTCTTAATATAGAGTATCTTTTAAATTAGAAACAAAAAGCCTAGGAATAATGATGGAGTTAAGGGAATGAAATGAGACTAAATCCTATCAAGGTGTTGCAATTTTCTACAATTATACAAAAGTAAGCCTTGGTCTACCATCCCCAGTGTGCTGGGATGGGGCACTGGGAAATAAGCTGAGCCTATGAGAAAAGAGCAGAGGGCCAAGAGAAACAGACCTCTAAAGGGAAGTGAGGAGGCAAGAGTATGATGCTCAACCTTTGCTCCGAAAGTCCAGATTGCACTTGAGCATCAGAGTCGTGACAGCACAGATAGCCCACCTGGACCACACCCACCTTAGACCAGTTGCATGGATATATAAGAAACAAACTACCCTGGGCACTCCAACCAAGTCGCAAAGGGAATAAACACTTCAAGGTCCTTTTTCAGCAGTATTTACCACCCACTGATTGTGCCAAGAAGGCAGCCCCCAAAACATGACACAAGGCACTGTACACTGGACTCAACCAGTGCCTGCCACGAGGACAGATGTCTTCTACTTGCCACTGAGAATGAAGGAGAGAACCGCTTTGCCACGAGACTACACACAGAATACTCAGGTACATGGTCTTAGACATAGGCTCACATACCTGGACACCTGTAGAAGACACACAAACATACCTGGACCCGCGTGATGTGCAGGTACAGGATACAGGCCACCAAGAAGCAGATAGAAAACACCAGCAGCAGCAGGACAGCCACACTCCTGGAGACAGAGGACACAGGTCAGGTAGGTGGGAGCTAGGTACAATGTATATCAGATAGATACCTCAGAACTGGGCCAGGTACAATGTATCAGACAGATACCTCAGAACTGGGCCAGGTACAATGTATCAGACAGATACCTCAGAACTGGGCCAGGTACAATGTATAAGATAGATACCTCAGAACTGGTCCTCTTCCTGGCCCCTGTGCCCAGAATCTCAGGAGGAAGCATTGCCATTTCCATTTGACAGATGTCCCTGAGGACTGACTTTGCCTGGTTCGCTCCTAGAGAAGACACTTGGGACTTCTGGATGAGGTTCCCAAGACCATCACTATCCTTACTACCTCACCCCAAAGCTAATGCTTGGCTCCAGGTCACATGACTTTCTGGAAGACCTTTCCTCCTACTGGAGGAAGGTACTTGACTTCGCGGAGCTGTACTATTGATACTTGTCTGGGAAAGATGTTTCTAGAAAAAAACATAACCCCTAGCAAAACCATCCGGAAAACTGCCAAGTTCACAGTTGTCTGTGCAGCCCACAGCTGAAGCTTCCTGTCCTTCACATGTATGGAGAACTTCTATGTGCTTTCTGGAAACTCTTAGGAGACATTACACCCTCAAGGTAGGTCCTCCTGGTAAACAAGTGCCCGGAGAAACGGACAACCGGAAACTTCCTGGTGTCTTCCTCAAAACAAAAGCCCCAAGCTTACACTGACTCATAGGACGGTTCAATGCCATTTATATCACTCCATTTTCTTCCCTTTAACATTCTACTTCTTATTTTTAATGTCTTTTAAAGTGATGTGGGCCCAGGAGGCAGAAAGGCCATGTGTTCTCCTCAGAAGGCCCTCTGAGGACAATGGTGCATGCCATTTCAATGAGGAAGAAACACACACACACACACACACACACACACACACACACACACACACAAGTCTTTGCGTTCAGCAATTTCGAAACTAAAAATGGTGAGGATGTTGTATGCCAACAGGCTTATCAAAGTACCAACCTGAGCACATGAAGAAGAAAGGCAGGTGGCCAATGCCCTCCTCAAATGTCAGGCACAACAGAAGAGTAACCAGGAAGTGGATCTGGATCACATAAAGACAGCCAGGTCCAACCCCAGTGTTTGGTTTCAGAGTGAAATGGGTTTGAACACTCGGCCCCTGAACAGTGGCACTATTTGGGTAGGTTGTCAATCCTTTAGGATGTGGTACATGATGGGAGGAAGGGAGTCACAGCGCATGAGCCCCAGGTCACACACACTCCACTTCGAGATCCATTCTCACGTGAGCAAACAGCCTCATGCCCCTATCACCAAAGCTGAAGGTCTCCCCTGATGTCACCTTTTCCCTGCCATGATAGACCGTACCTCCCAACTGTGAGCCCAAATCAGCCCTTCTTTCCTTCAATTGCTTGTCCTCAGTTATTCAGTCGCAAAAAACAAGAAACATAACCAGTACCCGCAGAGACCCGGAGCTCTCGGTCACTGATCAGCACGGGAGCAACACTCACTGTGGAATTATCAGAAGGTAGACAAGCCCAAATAAGGCGGCCAGGATGAGGGCGAGGACAACAGCGCTGGTGAAGTACTCATCCTGAAGCTGGTGGTACTGTGGGGGAGAGGGGAGGGGAGCGAAGGAGCATGGGTCAAGGAGGGAGGGAGGGAGAGCAAGAGAGTGATCAACCCAGCTGGAAGACACAAACTCCTCAGGGACACGGGCGAAGCGCCGAGTCACTCACTTTTTGCTCTCGTTCAGCGTGTTTATACTTCAGGGTGAAGAAGTTCAGATCTGCCATCTCCAGTTCTGTCTGGCGGGCTTCAAGAAGACGGCTAATGTACCTGTTGACACGTGTGCCCGGAGTGGTGTAGACCACATTGGTAGAGAAAGATGAACGGTTTCTGAGCTTCTCCGAGGCTGTCCTCAACGCCCTCCGCTGCAGTCGCCACGGAAATAGAGAAAACAGCATCAAATGTTCCACCCGTTGAACAAAAGCACCCATGAGCACTTGGCTGTCAGTCATCCTTATCGGCTAGGTTCAGAACTGTGAGACACTGTCGGAGTGCTGCCCCCTGCTGGCTAGAGTTGGAAAATGCGGTGCCCTAACACCCAAGTCTGTATCGCACATCACAGAATGTCTGTTTGGAATGAGTGGATTCAATGACAAACATGCCCAGGACAAGCAGGCACCTGCACCCACTCTCCCATAGACACAGGAAGGAGACTTGGATGGGGTAACCACCTTCACTTACAGGTCCACATGCGTAGAAAAGGTGCCTAGAAGTTTACTACAAAGGCAGCTTCTGTAAATTCATGAAAGGACCAGGGCGTGAGTCTTCTTCCGTACGTCACATGACAGGTGCAGGAAGGGCCCCGGTTGTGGAAAGGAAAACAGTGTCATCTGAAGGCACCTGCTGTGGTCTCTCAGCCAAGGACTCATAGCAGGGACTCTGATGCTTCCCATGCCCCAGCAGAGGACGGACTATTAGGATACACTATAGCGCAGTTGCAGAAAGGACGGAATAAAGAGACCCCTCCATGTTCCAGCAAAACACAGACAATAAACACAAGGCTCTATGGGAGGTGGAAAAAAAGAGCAGCAGGCTTTCAGAACTCTGGGACTCAAAGAGGAACAGTATGTGACAAGGGTCCCGGGGGGCATCCACTGCCACATCTATCCCAGGCCAGGAGCTAGAGGAGCCCGCCATCGGAAATGTCAACAGGTACAGGTAAAACTGGCAGGGGCCAGGAGAAAAGCTATTGTCTCTTAGCATAATGATCAAGAACGGGAAACCAGAAAAGCAAAAATAACCACACAACGGCAGCTAAAGACCACTATGAGAAAGTCTATTTGCCAAGAATCCCCAACTTCCCAGTTACACCAAACTTATCCTACAATCTCAACCTACATAACAAAACGGCACCCCACGGCACTGTAAGGACAGAGACCCTGATATCCCAAGGACAGCAGAGGCAAAAGTCCCTTGGCAGATCGTCTTGATCCACACTTGAAAGTATTTCCTAAAATACAACATCCAGTTATCACTCAAAAAAAAATGTAAACACTAACTTACAGAGTCCACTCTGAGGTTAGCATTCCTAGCTCAAAGCACCACAATGATTGGTAAAATCCTGTGCATCTTCATTAAGAGTCAGAATGAGAAAGAATGCCCACCCTTATTACTATTATCTAGTTTAATTATTACATGGGAAAGAAGAACAATGGCCCTGTTTAAAGTAGATAATATTACTGACCAAGAAAACTCAAGATGATTCTGAAAAGTCACTGCAATTGGTTTCAATTAGCGTGGGCTAAACGAGCTGCGCGCTCTCTTCAGTAAATTCATGTGATGATAATCATCCCTCATCGCTTTTAAACAAAAGGCTCAGGAGATGTGGACAGACTGGAAACAGGGAAGGAAACACAGTGTCCAGCACACTGGCAATGCTCCAAGCCTTGCTAAGTTGCCACGCTGGAGCAGCTGGAGAAGCCAGGGTTTGCCCACATCATGGACAGAATAAGATGCTAGAGGGAGTCCAGGTTGGCAGCAGCAGTCCAGGATAGTCCAAGAGAGCACTCCAGTAGCCCAGGAGTCCCCCCAAGACCAGGCTATCCGGCACTGCTCACTAAGATGCTCGTGGAATCAGATGCACCCAGCACCCAGGAACGCGATACAGAGAAATGAAGTCCCTGTTGACCAGTGAGCCCCTAGGGGAGTCAGGCCTGTGCCTAGACCTGGAGGCCATTCAGCCACAAAGAAAAGGCTGGGATCTGTGTGGGCCTCCAAGTGCCCGAGGCGTTTCTGGGGCGGAAAAGGCTCAGTTCGCCCGGTTACCACCCACGTCACACACAAGCTGATTTCCAGAAGGGAACAGAGAAACAGGAGCAATCCAGAGCACTTGACTTCGGTGTCGCCCACACAAGTGGCTTTCATGTTGCTTTAAATTGATAAGCTTAGATTTAAAGCTGTACACACGAGAGGGGGTGGAAGGGAGGGAGGGAAGGAGAGAGAAAGAATGAATCAACGAATATGGGGAGGTTTCTGAGTGGAGAACAGAGGAACAAATACGTTTTAAAAATCAGAAAACAAGAATAAAGAAGGCCCTTACCCTATGCTGGCTGTGGCCCTCAGTGCCACTGATGGTGGCTCCAAGCTGGCTGTGGCCCTCAACAGTCACTGCTGGTGACTCCACACTGGCTGCGCCCCTCAGGGTCACGGCTGGTGATGGCGCCCTAAATCTCTGATCAGTGCCATGCACAGAGCCCATACTTGCCAGGCACAGCTTACAGAATGCCCAGGGGTGAAACTGTACTTCCACGAACAAAAGTATCATGACCTGCCTTCGTTAGTAACAACAGAGAAGTCCCAAATATCAATGCCACATAAACCATCTCTCCTTGGGTTTAAAACCTAAGCCAAAGACTGAAAACTCAGACTGAGGGGCAGCTAATGATGTAAAGACAACTCTATGATACATCGAGACAAGGGAAGGAGAAACAAGCAGCCAAACTGCCTCTACGATATAACGAAGATCCTTAAAGGAACTCCGGGTCCCACAGTTAGGACACTGAAGGAGCCAGAGCGCCAGTTATTTGGGGGGGGGGGGGTGGATGACAAACGTTTTTCATTTGCCTTTCTTGTGCATTTTTATATTTGGAGATATCGTTCATAATAGATACCTTCATGGGCAACAAAGTATCCGAAGGACAAATGGAACGGGAGCAAATGTGTTTGGGGGCTGGGGTACGCTATCAGGATCCGTCTCTGGTGTGCTAACAACAACAGCAGCAAGGGCTAGAAACCACAAGCACGGTGGAAGAGACACCGCACCGGGGCTCGGTGTTATTAAAAGGAAACCATTTCAATGACACTTGCTAGAACACAGTGGAGCAGGCTCTCCACAAGACCTTGCAGAAGGTACAGAGGCCATGGTGGCAGGATCCTGGATTCAACTATGAATGCAGCACAGCAACTGGGGGTGTACGGTCAAGGAGAAAAGAGGCTCTGTGGACAGAAAACTACTCAGTAGACATCAGAGGTCAGAGCATGCTGGCTAAAGTGACCAGGATCCCTGCTGAAGATGGCTCTGGCTGATCGTGCGTCTCCAGGACAGGGGATGGATGGGATGAGGAACCTACCAGACGTGTGTGTGTGTGTGTGTGTGTGTGTGTGTGTGTGTGTGTGTGTCTGGCTGGCTGGCTGTCTGTCTGTCTGTCTGTCTGTCTGCTGTCTGTGTCATTGGAGCTAAAATTCCTACTATCTGTGACAGAAGCCCACCATCTAGTATAATGCAAGCCTCCAGTTGCCTGGGCGCACATAAAAGCTAATCATCCTCTCTGACGCGCTCCACCATGAATGAAGTTCTTAGAACATTCTCAGAAAAAGTTCCAGCACAGAGGAACTCACATACACAAATCCTTGTGGCAAGGAACCACTACAAGCAAGAGGCAACAGAACCTTGCTTTGTCCCGAAAAGCCTCTAACTGCACCAGGAAGTCTCTTTCTTTAAAAGGCGTAAAACCAGTAACAGCAGAGAAAACAACGGTGGGAAAGGCAGCAACAGGGTGGAGCAAACAGATGCAAGGTAAAGTCAGTGTAATCTCAGAGGGCTGGACAGGGCAGGCAACGCGGGGCCAGGCACCTTCAGGCTCAAGCACTCGTGGATACAGTGGCTCTCTGGTCAAGAGCCATCCACAAGGGGGCATTAGAGCCCTAAAGTGCACCCCATTCTCTTTGGTGAAACAATGTGCGGTCTTCCCCAGAAGGGGAATCAGGGTCTCTGGCTCTGTGTGGTTGAAGTGAAGCCTGAGACACCATCATAACCACCAGCACATGCTCAGAAGATCTGAAGACTCACAAGTGACGGCCTGATCAGCTGAGACAGAGAACCCTGGCGTCCACAGAAGGCACTGGAGCGCCGTCCCTAGCTCGGCACTTGTAGCCAGCTTTACTGTCCTCTCCCTCAAGAACAAAGCGGAAAAGGCTCCCGTGTCTGTGGGATTACAGATGGCCACAGACATGCTAAAGGGGACATAAAAACAGCTGCTCGGAGAAAACAGATGTTTCCAGGACCAGCAATTCTTTCTTAAAAACCTCCATGAGGGAGCTGAGGAGAAGGGCCAGTGGCTAAAGTGCCTGCCATGCAAGCACAAGAGTAAGGACTGGAAAGCAGCTCAGAGCCAGGTGGGCGTGGCAGCCCACCTGTCATTCCAGAGCTAGGCGTGCAGGGCCAGGGCACTCCTTGAGTCAGCTGACTTAGTTAGAGTAGCAGTCTGGGTGAGCACTGGATTCCAGAGGGAGACCCTGCCTCAAAGAATAAGGCGGAGGTCAATTGAAGAAGGTGCCCAACATTAACCTTCGTTCTCAAAAGCAATGTTCACAGGTGCATCCCCATCAATACACATACATGCACCCACAACAGGCATGCATACCACACACACACACACACACACACACACACACATTTTTAAAAAATAGAATAAAAATCCTGAGAGAGTGAGATGGCTCAGCAGGGAAGAGCATCTGTCACCAGGTCTGATGGCCGAGTACGGAAGTAGAAAGCCAGCTGCTACAGGCGTCCACATGCATCCCATAGTACACAGGCATGTGAATCCACCCACAAATATTATAAAAACTAAAAATAATCTCAGTGAGTGATGGAAGCTGGGGTTGCAGGGCTTGCCTGGCATACCTGGGAAGCCCTGGGATCGATCCCCTGCATGACATAAAACCAGATGTGATGGCACACATCTGTAATTCCAGTATTGGGAGGTAGAGGCAGGAGAGGCAGAAGTTCAAGGGTATCCTGAGCTACATAGCAAGTTTCCAGGCCAGCCTGGGGTCTCTGACATGGAGTACAATTTTATTACGGAATTACTCATAAAATAAAGAGTACCCGGAATTTTTAAGAATTGAAAAAGCTCAATATAAGCATTGGATGATGTCCTAGCCGGTTTTGTGTGCCAACTTGACACAAGCTGGAGTCATCAGAAAGGAAGGAGCCTCAGCTGAGGAAATGCCACCATCAGATCCAGCTGTAAGGCATTTTCTCAATTAGTGATTGAAGGGGGAGGGACCAGCCCATGTAGGTGGGGCCATCCCTGGGCTGGTGGTCCTGGGTTCTATAAGAAAGCAGGCTAAGCAAACCAGAGGAAACAAGCCAGTAAGCAGCTCCCCTCCATGGCCTCTGCATCAGCTCCTGTCTCCAGGATTCTGCCCTGTTTGAGTTCCTTCAGTGATGAACACCAATGCTGAAGTGTAAGACAAATAAACCCTCTCCTCCCCAACTTGCCTTTTGGTCAGGGTGTTTCGTCGCAGCAATAGAAATCGTAACGAAGACAGATTATAAAGTTGAAAAAAAAAAACTTTCCAGAAAATAGAAGGAAAGAGCTCAGGGGAGGAGGGAGTTCAGTCAGTTTAAGAGCTCCAACATCCAAATCATAGGCCTTCCAGGAAAAATAACACAAGAAAGTGGAGGGAAAGAAATGGCAACATAATTCACTTCCAGACAGGTCCTCTGGGGACATTGGGTACCAGTTACAAAGCGACCGAAGTGAACGTGTGCTGTGTGGCCAGAACACAAGATGGGGCACCAAGGATGGACAAGGGCACATGGGTACTTTATCATGGGGAATTGGAATGGCTCTGAATTAACAGCAGCCCTGGAAGGCGGGACCCAGTGAAGCATGCTGGGAGAGAAAGAAAGTACTACCAACCGTGATGGCTGAACTCTTACTTCACACACACACACACACACACACACACACACACACACACACACAATCACCTACTACCATAAGAACACAGCAAGAAGACAGTTCCTGCAAACCAAGGAGAGCCTAGGCATGCAGGTACCCTGACCTGGGACATTTAACTGCCAGTGAGTGAGTGCTTGCGGTTTACACTTCTCAGACTGGGCGCTTTTGTGGCAGCAGCCTGCACTGGCTAACATACCGAGCTAGAAATCAAGGCTACATTCTGCAGCTGAACCTTTTACACATGCGAGTCCCCCCCCCCCCCATCACTTCCTGTACCCTTTTTACATTCCCCATGTAATGTGAGAGTAAGGCGCATGGGACCACAGAAGCCCATGGCGACAGGAAGAGAAAGGCCCGGGAGGAGCAAGCTGAAGATGAGAAGGCTAAGAGAGCAGACCTGAAGGGCTAACCAGAGCTCCTTGGACAGCACGTGGGGAATGTGAGCTTAGACTTGGCTACATACAAAATACAAATTAACATATAGACTTGTGCTGTGTCACATGGTCAGACAGGTATCACCGGTGAGGAGTGTCCTAGCCAAGCTGCACCAGGCGGGAGGAGAGAGAGAAGAGCCCCAGGACCCTCCGCCACTCCTACCTTGTCATCATCCTCGCAGGTCATTACGTTGGAGAAGGGGATCTCCGCTTTGAACATTTTCCGGCAATGCATGAGCTGCACCAGCAGGTAGCAGACAGTCTTGAACTTCATCCTCTTGGCTGGTTTTATATCGGAGAGAATCAAGCCTGGAAATATCTATCCAAACACAAGGGGAGGGGAAAATACTGTCAATGAAGCAGATCTCGACTCTCAGGCTGGAAACATGACCTTAACAGTGATAGGAACTAGTGGGCCCTGAAATTAGGTTGTTTGGTACCCCCTGCATGCCAGGTATCCAGGAAACTACACACTCGCTGTCACACGAGCCTGCACCCTCAACTAAACCCATAGCTTCATGGGAACAGGCACATTTGCCTAACCCATCACCTAAACCGGAACCTTCATCTTCAAGAGAATCATCGTCCACTTAAATCATCATGTGAGGACTTACCTACACCTGGACCCATACCTTCACCTGAATCCACACCCTCACCTCAGCCCACACCCTCACCTCAGCCCACACCCTCAACTCAGCCTACACTCTCCCCTGAGCCCACACTCTCTCACCTTAGCTCATAACCTCATCTGAACACACACCCTCACCTGAGTTCACACCTTCACCTGAGCACACACCTTCCTGAGCTCACACCCTCATCTGAGCCCACACCCTCATCTGAGCCCACACCCTCATCTGAGCCCACACCCTCACCTCAGCCCGTACCCTCAGCAACACACCATCCTCACTGAACCAGCACCCCTGCCTCAACAAGCATGGTTACCTAAACCACTTCTCTCATCTGAGTTCACACCTCCTCTGAGCACACCCCTCATCTGAGTCAGCACCATAATCTCAGTCCATGCCATCCAATCAACTTGAACGGTGACCTCAGCCCTGGAAGCATCTCTACCATCCTCAATCCTAACCACATCATCTTTCTCCTGGCAGTGTGACCTGAAGCATCCAACACAGGATGGCCAGGATTCCCTACAGCACAGCATCTGTAAGTTCACAAAGATTTGTACCCCAGCCTCTTGCAGGAAGTTCAAGGTCTGAAGGGCCAAAGACAGGAAAAAGAACCCGAAGTGGCACAGTCAGGCATCCCCAGATTTCTGACTCCAGACTCCTACCAACTACTGTCTGTTCTCCCCTCCTATATACATGAAGCAAAGCCCTGCACCCAAAATCTCTGGGCCCACATCCGGAGGAGCGGTCAGGAGAGCAGGAGGTGAGAACAAGCGTTTCTTTACATCTCTGCTCTGTAAAGCCAGGCTGTTTAATGGCTGGATGAGGGGGACTGGCTGCCCACCTTTCTCCGATGGGACGGAACAATAAAGAAGGTCTCGATGTTGTGGGTTCTCAGGAAGGTGTTCCTCTCGTGGCCGTGACCTGGCTCTACTTCGTAGTCCCCATTCAGGCATGCGAGGGTCGTCTTTGTGATGTGAACCTTCCTGTGGGAGAAGAAAACACAGCTGAGTGTGAACTCACACGTGTGGCTGTGCAGGGACCTGGGTGAGGCACGCTGGGGTCACAGCAGAGGTGGTTCTGCTCGGGGCAAGACTTCCAAGGTATACACACTCACGTTCCGATGCATGGGTAACCTGGAAAGCAAGGACAGGGAGGCCCAGGCAAGCCAAGCGATGGGGCGCACACCCAGGAAGGCAGAATAGTCAGAAGATTCTAAGACAGAAGATGAGAACCAAACAGGTAGAGTAACAAAAGAAAGGGGAGCCCTCCACAGTCAGCCCAGTGAGGAGCTGCAGGTCCCGGATGCTGGTAGCCAGGACAGAGGGCAGTGGGAAATGATATGGGAGCCCTCACCTGCCTTGCTTCTCTGCCTCACAGCATTCCAAGCCACTTTTCCAGGCCTGCTGTTTCTAGACTTTCTGAATCCCCTGTAGCAGAAAGCCTTGAGTTCATGGTCGAACTCTGCAGCTGACTGAAAGACGGGCAAGCAGGCAGGGCATGACTGACAGCCACGAGGGAGCCTTTAAAGTCACGGCGTTGCCCATGCACAGGTGTGAGAAAATAAAACACAGAAGCAATAATAAGACACGAGAATGCCCCACGTACCAGGATAAAGGTCCCATGCACATCTGGTCTGATCCACATTGGTTTTCTGCACATGTGTACTGGATCTCAGCTAGGTCCCCGGAGGGTCAAAGCAGAACTTACCCAAGTCCCCTCAGGATCAAAGCCCGAAATGAGGACTCTAGCAAAGGTACTCAGCCACCTCCCACCCCAACTACAACTTACCCAGGTAAGCCAGCAGCCTCCATGACATTGGCCAGGGTCACGTCGTTGGACCATACATCGTACTGCCACTTGCGTAGGCCCAGGACACCACAGAGCACCCTGCCGGTGTGTAGCCCCACACGCATGTTCAGGTCTACTTCAGTAGCCTCAGCCACAGATCTGTAACACAGGGACAGAGGGCACAGGGCTGAAGGCTGCCGGGCAGCTACCCCGACGGGCTGTCACGGCTGCACTTCGAGGCCATGAGCACTGGAGAACATGCTGCCTGCGTCTGGAGTGTGGCAGGTGTGTGGAGGTCCAATCGGAGGACAGCAGCACATCTCTGCCTGCTTGTGAGGTAAAGGCCAGCCACATCTATGCACAACGAGTTCTGTGAGCTCCCAACATAGCATCCTCTTGCCCCTCCCCACCCAGGGAAGTCCCCAAAAGAAAACGGGCCAAGAACTTCGATGGATCCTCTCTCCAAGGAAACAGCTCTGGGGAGGTGGACGAAGGCAGATCATGTTGTGCCAAGGGAATTAAGGACCAGCGAACCAGTTGATGTGACCAACTGAGGACACACTACTCTTGGTCACGGAGACTCAAGTGTCCTGGCGTGTGAGTGTGGCTCTGCCAGCATTCGCTCTGCCAATCTCTGGACTTTTGCTTCAGAGCTGTCCTGGTGGGCCTCACTGCGGGAGACGTAAGCCACCCCTTGCCAGCTTTTTCTATTCCACTAACAGAGAACACCATGGCCTGCACCATGAAGGACTCTGGGAAGAACACCGTCCCCTCATCACTGCAAGTGTGTGATCACGTGGCAAACACCGCAGCCTTCGGTGAGCCTCTGCCTGCTCCACCCTCAGCTCTACAGGGTCACCTAGGACAACGCTGCAGGTCACATTTTCAGTAATAAAATAGCGTGTGTGCATTGACTCCACCCTGCGTCTGGCCGGCCTTCAACCTGACTTCTGTTTACAAACTTCTGTTCCACCTGGAACACCCGCACAGCACATCCCCACACCCTCTGGCCTCCCCTCGGGCCCCACAGGTGCTCCTGAGCAGTCTTCTTGGGTTGGCAAGATGCCAGAGCCAGCTGCAGCCCATGGGCCTGGCCCTGAATTCCTAGTACACAATCCCAATCCATTTCAGCGACCCTAAAAGTGCATGTGGAAGTCAGAATAACACTAAGTCTTTAAGACCCATTTTGTTTTTTACATTTTGAATGAAACTTTTAAAATTTTAACTTCATCCCCAGTGGTCTGCCAATCTTCGATAAAAGACACTGAGACAAAACCCTAAAGAGAAAGTTGGCATTTCCAAACCCACATAAGCGACATTCCTTCGGAGAGACACCTGCCCTTCCTTCTGCAGCACATTCAGCATTTTCATTTCTGCAGCCACAGAAGGTAAGACAGCCTAGGAACTGCTGGGCCAGGCACTTGCCCATGTCCACAAATGTCCACAATTCCCTTAAGCCTTCCAAGCCAGCCGTTCTGGATCCCTGTGAGCTGGGATCCGCCGAAGCCCCAAGGCCCCACATGTCTGGCACTCAGCACCTGCCAACACTCAGTCGGTCTTTCCTGGCATCTGGCACATCAAAGCTGGCGGCACCGAATCCATAGCACCCAGGAGAGCGTTTTCTAAGGAAACCACAGGCAGCTGTTCTGCTGGGGCTCCTCTTGGCGCCCTTCTACCCAGGCACGTTTTTGCTCAGATCCCAAAGCTTTTACTTCATTTCCAGGACATGAGAATTTCTAGACCTCGTCTGCTTTCTTCATCCTCTATTTCTCATGTATGGTCTCAGAGTGACTTATTTATCACAAGTATTTTCTATGAAGGAAGAATGTGGTCCTGACCCTGTCTGGTGCTGGATCCCAATAGGAAGAAGCCCACTCTGAGGCGCAGACTTCCTCCTCCCTTTCGGGGTACACTGATCACGGCCGACATAAAACCTGGAGCAAAGAGCAAAGGACGAATGTGTGTTCTGTTCAAGGAGAACTTACTGAGTTCACTGCTCTTGGCCATTCTTCCAGGCACTACGGATACAGCTGTGCACACAACAGAAAGAATAAAAGGCTCTCTGAAAGGTGTTTTGCTGTCCTCTAGGCGGAATTTCCCAGACGCAGTGATAACACAATTGCTGGAGGCAGCCCCCAGCCTCCATCCTAGCATGATAGAAGAATACAGCAACCCCTTCCACCCAATGGGATCAAACTTGTGCCATTAACACATGGGCTCCTAAGTTCCCCTCTGGGGCCTCGGCTTTACCATCAATAGAAATGCAACCATTGGCTATAACATACAGACTCAGAATCCCCAGGTCCCCAAAACAATACAACAGAATTTTTGTCATGAGTGGAAATTTGGAAGCATATACAGCATCCTCCACCCCAGAGAAAACTCCTTCTTAAACACACCCACAGGCCTGACTCTAAAACTCAGAACCCAATAATTAGACAAAGCAATTCTCAAGGTCAGTCTGCACTGAGAAACCGTATCACGTGCTGTGGCTCCCAAACAGCCCAAGAAAGAAAGGCCTGGGTATAAGAACTTTAGCCTAGAGACCAATGACTTATTTATGCCACAAGCTGTCTCTTCACCAGGTCACTGGCACATGGGGGCAGGGGAGGGGGCATGAATTTCCCAATTCAGCCAAGCAGATGAAAGACACCCAGCTCAAGAACAAGGCCAAGGGTAGATAAGATCTATTTAGAAAAAAGGAACATTGTGCTCTTGAAAGGCGCGGGGAAGAATAATTAGGTCACTGCTCCCATCTCACATGTGCCAGCAGGGGCTTCCCTGTGACGCGGACAGACTAGTACAGGACCACGGGCAGCACGGGAGAGGGAATCCCGGGGAAACCCTGCCGTAGAGGGCCTCTCTCTTCTTGGGATGGCTCCTTCTGTCTGGGTAGTGGTGAGTCATCCCCTGCGGAGGCTCCTGAAATCCTCCCACTCAGCTACTGCGCCTAAGAGGCGCTCACTCCTCACGGGCACCATTTCTCCATTCACCACCAAAGGAAGAAGCGTTCGAGGAAAACGAAGCATCACCCAGGCTGGGAACCAGGAGTTCACAGGCTCCTCCACATCCTCAACAACCAGAGGTCCTGGGGTCACTCAAGAAAAGTGGAGGTTGGGTCCACTGTGGGAGGGAAGGGGTATAATCAGAACGGGGAGGAGGCACAGACCACACTGGGTGGGGGGAGGAGGAATGCTCAGCTACATCATCACCAGGAGAAGAGTTCCAGTGACCTCTGTCCCAAAAGCCTGTTCTCAGGGGCATCTGGGAAGAGAGCTTTGGAGGGGGCTATTCTGAGGCCAGAGCAGCACAGAAATCCTTGAGCCGCCCAGCGTGGTGGGATGGGGTGTGGGGGTGGATTCACTCATTGGATCCAGTAGGAGCTGGCTCTTCCAGCCCAGGTACAGCAGCTGAGGAGAGGACCCTAAAGCCCTTTCTTCTTGGGTAGCGCATTGCAGAGCCGGAAAGATAAGGAGAGCAAATGTTCTCTCTACATTTTAGGCGGCCTCACTGTGTCCCATTCTGGGTCTGCGATGGCAGGTCGTGACAAACAACACCCTTGACCGCTGAACCAACCAGTGGCAAGAACACAGGCACGGGTAGCCTGAGTTTAAAGGTTACAAAGGAAAAATAAAGTGAATGCCTGTGTCTCTTCTCCCCATAGGAATGAAGAGTCTAGGAAGCAAACTAGCCGGACTGTTACACAGCCGTGGACAAGGAAAGGGCCTCAACTCCTCTAGCCTGGGGAGAAATCAGGACCAGTCTAGCAAGAGTCTATCTGCATTTGCTCAGGAGCAGGGCCTGCCATGACTGTGGGCCTTCCTCCTCTAGTCCATGCTCCTTCCCTGCGTAAGCACACCCTACACGCATAAGTGTCGAAATGGATTGCCATGCTTTCGCCGGCCAGCAGTCCCGGTGCAAGTGCTGCCGGCAAAGCCTCCTTTGTACTTAACAGCTGATCACGGAGCCCCAACCCAGCTGGGTCAGGGGGTAGTGGCCTCCCTACCCCCTCTTCATCATTACACCATGCATCTAAGAGATGTGCATAATCTTCCAATAACCATGCTGGCCTTTGTTGTTGTTGTTGTTGTTGTTGTTGTTTTGGGGGGGTTCCAAGACAGGGTTTCTCTGTGGCTTTGGAGCCTGTCCTAGAACTAGCTCTTGTAGACCAGGCTGGCCTCGAACTCACAGAGATCTACCTGCTTCTGCCTCCCGAGTGCTGGGATTAAAGGCGTGCGCCACTACTGCTCAGCGCTGGTCTTTGAGTCACAGAAAGCTCTGCCCAGTCAGAATTCTCAAACCCACAGAAGACCTGTGGCCCCTGAAAATGGGCACTTCTGGCCCACAGGCTCAGCTATTTACTGGTCACTGGGAGACACTGTCCATCACTCAGGGATCTTTTGAAAAAGAGGTCATTTCAGAATCAAAGAATCCACACCGCTGAAGCCTGATAGCTTCCTCTACTGGGAGTTATTCCTGGTTCAGATGGCTCCTGACAGAAAGAAGATGCAGCTAAGGGCACAGGCACTGCCCCCACATTGGGGCGTGTGGTGCAAGGCCAGCATGGCACTCTGCACATGCAGGAGATCCAGAGCTTCCCTGGTCCTCCCAAGTTAACCTGCACGAGTGCCCGCGCTTCCCTGGTTCTCCCAAGTTCTTCTCCAAGAACCACGGTGTTCCCCAAAAGCTCCCGGATGCTCCACTTCAAACTCAAGGAATAAAACCACATGAATACCCTGCTTTGCCTAGGCTTTCTGGTCCTCTTGATAAACATGTTATGTCTTGTGTGTTTCACCCCTCTGAAATGGGCACATGCAGGCTGGTATGGTCAGCAGGGCTGGTGCCAGTTGCCATATGGAATCTTCCTGGGAGATCCAGAGGCCAGCCAACGCCGAGTGCACATGGACCATCTCTGGCTCTGCAATTCCCACAGGAAGAAGGGCTGTTAGGAGTCTCTTGGATGAACTCAGATGCTTGTTCCTTCCAGTCCAGAGACAGAAATTCAGGTCACAGAAAGACTCTAGGCTCAGGGGATCTCGAGGCTGTAGGATTTTCAGATGGAGTGGAAAGCAGTCCAGGAGGGCTAGGACAAGACTACCCAGTCTCGGGCTGTCCAGTCTCTCATGACAGAGCCAGAGAGTCCCAGCTGAAATACTGGAGGAATAGTGAGACCACGAAACAAAGCACGTTGGGCAGGGTGGCTCAACAAGCAGACGTGGCACTCCACAGAAAGGGCTTAGAATCGAAGCACATGCCCACCTCACAAAAGAGACTAGAAAGAAGGGAAGGCCTGAGCCCCATGTGAGAAACCAGGCTCCTGACCACAGAGAGACCAGGTGGGAATTAAAGTTGCCAGAGAGCATGGGCAGGAAAGGCACCCAGCTTACCGGGCACAAAGTCACTGTGAGTCGCCCGGTACCCCAGTCAGCTGGAGCACACTCCTAACTTTACCTGGGTCTGCGCAGTACACCCTCTGTCTCAGAGCTTCCTCCTACAAAGCCTCATTATATCCGAAGCAGGTCACACATCAGACCTGGTAAAATATGCGCTCTATCTATAGATGACAAATAATGTGAAGGGCGGAGCAGAGTGGTGGACCGCAGTCAGGCTGGGCTTCGGAAGGTAGCACAGGCCCCCTGCTATGCTCTGTCTCCTACAGTTACAGGGACACCCCCTCTGAGGACACAGCTCATCAATCACGAGGCCCTAACTAATGGCATGAGATGGAGCCACTCATGTCAAATCCACAGCTCCCCAAACCACCAGGCTTCACCAGTCACTCCTCCTTTTCCCCTTTTGTCATTAGTGGATATGAACGTAGAATCAACGGTTCCACTATGACAATTTCACACATGGGTAGATAGAATATTTTAATTCATCAATTGTTTCCTAATTTTAAACACTAAAGAGAAAAGGAGTCTGAAGACGAGATGACACTACCTCACCTTGGTTTTTGCTGATTTTAAGAATACATATTGTTCTTTTCTTGACAATCTGTCCTGGACTCACTGGGCTCGTGGTGAACACCAAACTACCATCCTTGGAGTCGGTAAGAGTATGGTGTCATTGGATATATGGCATACGTGATACCAGATATAATACATGGCACAACACACTGATGCACACATGATAAAATATGATACATGGTATTATGTAAAATATAGTTAGATGGTAGAGGATGTAGTAAAAATGAGGGGTGGTGACAATGTGACAGGATAGGGAACGGTGTAGAAGATATGTTGTGTGTTGCCACATATGATATATGATAACAATAGTGATTTTTAATTTTATTTTTATTATATGTGGACGGGTGTTTTGCCTGCATGTATGTGTGCGGGCCGCATGCATGCAGTGCCCATGGAGGCCAGAAGGGAGCAGGTGTCAGAGCCCTTGGAATTGGAGTTTCTGAGCATTGTAAGCCACCATGTGGGTGCTGGGAATCAACTCAGGTCCTCTGGAAAAGCAACCAGTCCTCCTAACCCACTGAGCCATTTCTCCAAACCTTATTAGTGATCTGATGATGTGACCTGTGACACATGACACAACATCCTTCCAGGAACAAAAGACAGCCATCACCAGGCATCTGTCCCTTATCCCCTTTCAGCAGGAGGCTTCTTCCAGCTGCCTCTTCCCAGAGCAGAGGCTCAGCATCTGGGTGTGCACGGTAGACATCAGGGCCCTTTTCCACTCACGCTTATAGAGAGAAGCTCAGATCAGCTCCTAAGACCTGTAGCAGGAGCAGACCTGGAGAGCTAGTCCCCGCAGAGCCAACTTCGGTGCTCAGGACAACCCCAGCGCTGGCTCCTTCCTTACACCTGCTCCAAAGCCCCAACTGTGCGGACGCTCTGTGTGCATTCTTGCATGCGACAGCCACTTGACATCTTCCTTGAATAATGTTTATGCCAGTCTTTCCACTCTAAGCATGGCCTTCACACCAATCCTGAAAACATCTCATGGAGAGGACCTGCCACTCTGGCTGGGCTGTCTGGATTTGGATCTACCTCCATCCATCGGTCCCACACCTGGGACCCATCTCCATCTCTGACAAGGGCAGCCGAGGCAGACCAAGAAAAGGTCAGCTGGGTCTCACAGGAGAACCCACTCCACAGAACTCACACACCCAGACTCACACTCACCCCCTCTCCCCACAGAGCACCAGAAGCAATTGACTGCCCAGAAGAACGCTGACTGGCTTTAATGGGCTTCTGCCCTCAGCCTTCCTCGGTGTCTCACCAAGCTCAGTTACAAAGGTCCCTTTGGGCACACTAGACACACAAAGGGTTTCTGTGGACAGAGTAGTGCATCATAAACTGAAAGGATGGCTCACCAATGCATCACCCCCCAATGCATCACTCCCCAGTGCATCATCCCCCAATGCAGGTAGGGCACTCTGACCCAGCCCCCTCCTACTGCTGCCTCAGCCCCTGCAGCCTGAGACAGACACACTAACAGTGCAACACTTACGTGATGGTATCGATCATGTCAAGTCCCATCTCCACACAGCAATGGGCGTGATCCGTCTTGGGCTGGGTGAGGCCCGACACGCAGTAGTAGCAGTCCCCTAGGATCTTGATGCGGCGACAGTGGTTTTCCTTGGGGCAAAGCACAGCATAAGATCATTGACAGAGTTGCTGCCGGTGAGCATGCGTGTGTGTGGCCTTCAGTGGCCAGGGTCAGGTCCACAGGGGTGCTCCCCTCACGACCCCCAACATCCCCCACCTCTTTCTACTGAGATCGTTTATCTCTCCCACCTTCTCCGGTCAGCCGCCTGTCAGATACATACCCCCATTCACTTAACTTACACAGCAAGCCCCACCCCAATCATGGTGCAGCCCTCCTGGAAGCCACGCCATCCAGAAGGAAGTCCAAGCTATATTCATAGAGATGTCCCTGCAGCTCTGAACCTCCCACCCTGGAGCACATTCTCTCATTTATATTAAGACGTGAAGAAGGCATGCTGAGTCTCCCGTATCTGAAGTGCTAAAAGCCAGAGGCACAGAAGCACTTCAGATCTTTTTCCCTATTGTCGGCTTTAGAAAGACTGGCATAGCCTTTGCCGGCCGAGCACACCCCGTCTAAAAGCATCACATTCCTAGTTTTTGAGTGTCGCATGATGCTCAAAGTCTTAGCTTTGAAAGCATTTCACAGTTTGGATATTCAGGTTAAGACTGCTCACACTGCAATGGCCCCTCTGAGGGAAATCATTCATAACATCCCTTGAACATCCATGCATGTGGAACGGACAGCCCCTTAGGAAGATTTGAGACACTGCCACCCAGGAAGCATGGGTGGATTTCAGTAAGGATCAAGAGAGTCAATCACACACTATATTCTGAAACCTGACATATGCTGACAGATCCATGTATCATTGTGACTGTCTTTTTTTATTTCAAGGAAATCATTAGACTCTGCAATTTGAGAGCCAGGGAAGGAAATGACTCAATGGGTAAAGTCACTTGCCACCAAACCTGACCACTTGAGTTTGAACACTGGGACTCAGGGTGTAAGGAGAAAATCGAATCCTGCAAGTGGCCTCGAACCACACACACACACACACACACACACACACACACACACACTCATACACACACACACCATGGCACCCTTCCCATACACATGCAAAACAAAAGTTTAAAAAGTAATTCAATTAAGCCAGGTGGTGGTGGCGCACACCTTTGATCCTAGTGCTTGGGAGGCAGAGGCAGGTAGATCTCTGTGAGTTTGAGGCCAGCCTGGTCTACAAGAGCTAATTCCAGGACAGGCTCCAAAGCTACAAAGAAACCCTGTCTCAAAAAAAAGTAATTCAATTAGAAGGGGTAGTAGAACACAGGTAGTATGAGGGGGGAAATATTTGGAATAAATGGCTTGAGTAGGGATATGGAAATTCAGGAAAGGATATGGTAGTGGGTGGGTTAGCAAAACTAAGGCTATGTGAGCAAACCATATGAAATCAAATCGTTTCTAAATTTACTTTTAAGTATACTATATATTTGAAAGAATTTGAACAGAAGCCCACTGCATAGGGGGACAACATGCTTCCAGAAGATATGAGTAATTAAATGGAAATTTCAGTGCCAAGGACTGGATATTCTCTATGAGTTGCTGGTCATAGAAGCCCCGAAGGCACCGCAGTAACACATGCCATGAGAACTGCTCTTGGTTGCCCACAATAACTATACGGTAACTCTGTAGCTGAAGACACCACTCACTTTGGAAGCAGGACACAGAAGTCAACTTCACCCAGGAAGCGCTCCCTGCTGGCTAGCTGCCACAGTGCCAGAAGGAGCTAGACAGACTGCCGGGGGAGAAAACCATCAATGCTCTCACTCAGTGCCAGATGTGCATGCTACAATACTGACCTGCTGGCAAAATGTGCCCACTGGCGCAACAGTGGCACAATGGTTATGCATGGCACCAACTGCTTTCTGGCTGAATATGAGCCCCCCCCCCATTCCCCGGAAGGGAATTCATGCCTGGTACTCTAGACATGGTCAAAAGTTCATGACTGGAGAGACCACAGACCCCTAGCGGGGGACTTACTGTTGCTGTTTTCTTAAGTGGTCATACTATCAAACCGCACTATAGCCTAAAAATTTCTGTTGTATATCATAGATGTGGGCTTCTCTCAACTTTAGTCAAAGATGCTTCCTTCTACAGTGGGTCGTATTCAGCTAATTACTGGCGAATGCATAAACTCATAACTGGTCATTAGCTGAGGACAAAGAGCACTCAGTGTTCGGCTGTGGATAGGCCATCTATCAGCCGCCACCATCCAAGGCTCAGGACCTTCACAGAAGAGGAGACAGAAAGAATGCAAGAGTCGCAGGATGGGGAGGAAATCTGTGAAATGCTAACTTGTACACAAGAGTCATGCCCCATTCAGATCAACTAACAGCAGCTACGGTTATCTGTCAAGATCAAACAGGTCGAAATCCCAGAGTGATGGGCCAGGGCCCCAGAAGATGAGTGCCTAGTGGAAGAGATAGAGGCAGTTAACGGGTGTTGAGGGAGACTCCCTCTCCTTTGGGACATGGCTGCTGATAGGCTGGCCATACTGCTGTTGATGGCCTCACACTCAGGCACATACGGATGGCACTAATTACATTCGGAGATATTAATAGCAATGAGAAAGAGGACATGAAATTGGGATGGAAATGGATTGAGGATCTAGGGGGAGATGGAGGGAGGTAGTGGCAGGTGGATATGATCAATATCCATGGTATAAATAAAATTTTCAAGAAATAAAAACTATTTTAAAAACTTTCGAAAACACTTCAGTTCTCAAACAGCTCCTCTTCAGATCCCCTTAACATCTGGAAATAATCAAAGCCATCTCAAAAAAACCTTAGCACAGGTCAGTTACAGCTGTTGACATTTGCCTAGAAGCACTCACACTGAGAAATTCTGAACAAATGTCTTTTAAGGTAATAGTTGCGAAATAAACCATCTGCAATGCAAACTAAACTCAAGTGAGAATCTTGCCTCTGGTGACCACTCCTGGGGGGTCTCTGATACCAATTTTCAGAGCAGACAGTCAGAAGATTTGGTCCACATCCACATCATAGGATATCCAGGAAGATGTTCTTGCCTCCTGCAGGTCACTCAAATGAAGACAGACTTCACAGGCCATAAGACACTTTCACTGTGTCCCACAGGTCCATGGTGTCCACTTTGAAAACACTCCACCATTTAGACCCAATTTTATGCTTGAATTTACCAACCATTTCCTGCAACTTTCTCAAATACTGTAAAATCAACAAACGTTAACCTAAGCAGGCAATCAGCATTGCACCTGGATAGTGAGGGGTCCCGAGGCCTCTCCATGGAAAGATGGTACCAGAGCTGAAGAGATAGCTAACTCCCACTGCTGCTCAAAGCTGCCCAGGCCCTGAGCTGCAAAGACTTCAAGAGATCTCTCTTCTCTAGCCACCAACGACAATCTGAGAAGAGAGTGCCATCCGTCGTGCAAATGACTCCACACCTGCTCCTTCCGTCTCTAGGTCTCCCTCCACACGTGATGCTTCAAAAGAAATGGAACATCTCCAAGAGGACTGGCTAGTACAGAATCTGCTCCCAGCCAATGCAAGTGTTATATGGAGAAGACAAAACACACCACACTGTGTAGAACAAAGGGACATCACAGGGATGCTGAATGTGACCGTCACCTCGTGGTGCCACCAAGATACATATGGTGAGACTGCCTCAGGGACTAAGTCCTCGAGTACTGAGCACCACAG